CATGACTCGCTGCGCAAACAGGTTTCGTTTTGAGAGAAGCAAGCATTGGTGTAAAATAAGACGCTACTGTCATGATCCCGTTGACGGACGGAGCATGCATGTTGTTGGTCTGCGAGTCTACTCCCGCGAGGGGGGGATAGCCCTGGGGCATAATGACCCTCCATGCTTGCGTGGATGGCTTCCTTTAGATGCCATTGCCGGAATGCAGGGTTCTGGAACCATCAATAGACCGAAACGACGGGCCACGATAGACGCCACGATGCTGTTGCTTCATCAACACGTCGAGGTGCTTCACCGTGTTACTCAAGGAGCCATGATGTTGCGCCCTACGAATGGCATGCTTTCCACGTTGTTTGCTGCCCGTGCCACCATCATTGAAGCCATCGCTTGTAGACGTCGCCCCTGACCCAACGTAAGAAAAGTAGAGAAGGTGTCTTTGACACTAGTATCATGGATCAGCCAGCCCAGCAAAATCGAGGCGGCATTTCCATTTCTCTGTGGTCCGCAAATGGTATTGGCTAATGGCCTGCGTCGCCAAATTGGGTACCAACAGATGCCAGCTTCTGTCCCTTGCTGTTCCCGAAAACTGGGCCCCCCGGTCTTTATTCTGCAGCAGCTTATTAGGCGATGCAGTGTTTCGACTTCTTCGCTGGTGGACGGCGGTTGTCGCTGCGAGACCCGTGACAGCTGCGATTTGGCTCAATATTAGCATGCAAAATTTTGTCTTCCACCACTCTACTCTGCCTTGACGTTGCTTGCTGCTCCATCTGAAGACCCTGGGCTATATGCCCAAGGTCCCTGCAATACGTGTCTGCGGCAGTCTCCATGACGGCTCCCTGTACTCCGTACTCGGTACTTGTCTGGCGAGCCAAGTTTCTTCTTGGCCTGCGACTCCACGTCGGGGAAACACGGCGTCGACTGGCAACTGATACTACTTTAAGCCGATGATGGAACCCATCATCCCAAAAGACGCTGCAAGTTTGGCGGCGTTATCCATACATGCCGATACATGTGCATATACATACATGCAAGGGTGCTGTACTCCCTAAGGCCATGCACTCCATATTTTTCTCCAGTCTGCTTCATTTTCAAGCATCGCAGGGTTCTGTCTCAGTTGAAACCCTGGCAGAACTGGGTCCGTTGTTGCTTGGAGCGATGTCGACAGGCCAATGAACCTTCCCACCTCAGTATGGCCCGAGATGTCTGCTCATGCCAAACTTCCGCTGTCGTTGGGCCAGCTCTGGCGAGGCAGCACTATGAGACCATTTCTCCAAGACCTGCCGGGGAAAATTGACATCTGAGCCTGAAAAAGCATCCGAGCGTATCGGTTGCCCGGTGTGGTGTATCGTGTGATCCTACCCTTGGTCGAAGGACTTGACTTCGCTAGTGGCGGTGAAGACTGCGGCTCGTCGCATTGACTGGGCATCAAACTTGATGCACAGCCTCTCCATAACCCAGCAACTGGCCTGCGGCTGGGCCCTGAACTTTGTACCGGCGCAACCCTTGCTCGTCATGCCCTAAGCCTTGCTGTGTATGGAGCTCGTGTCCTGAGAGGGCCCTCTCGAGATCCTCTGCACCGCGCTCAGACGCCGGCTCCCTTTTCACGCTACACAAGTTGTCAGGTGCGCCATGTGCTGTTCCCGGCAATATTGTATAGCATTGTCACTCTCCCTAGGGCTGGTCACGGCGTGCGCTTCAACGTCGACAGCTTGGCCAGATACGTGCCTGAGCGGCATGTATCTCGAGAGTCTAGACACCAGGGTATGAATGTATCGCCCGAGGTCTAGCCCTATCAGTTTCGGTGACTGACAAGGCCGCGGAGGCCTTGCCGATCCTCTCTGAAATACTCGCTAGTGGCCTATGTCATCCAACGCTAGCCAATAGGTTTTGCTCCAATGTTAGCAATGGAAACAACGAATGGTTTTGCAAATGGCACCTGGGGCTTATGCTCATGCCCTCATAATGCCTGCCGCACCAGTTGGACCTTCTGAAACTCAACCCACAAAACCTGAATCTATGATTGAAGGTGGCATCAACACCAGCCGTCCACGGAACAAGACAATAGCATCTATCCCTAGCGGGATAGTGGGGGATCTCTCCAGAAGGCGGTTCGTGGTGTACACGCTGTCCCAGCCCATTGACATTCCCCAGAAGCTGAGACACTGGGCAAGGCTTCACGAGTTTCCCCATAGCAGACAACTGTCGGAACCCGTGGGAGGGGGCATCGGGTCGGGGCAAATACAACGTTTCATGGTCACTAGCGTGCCCTGACGGTTGTAACTTGTGGCTGGCTGCTCATCAAAGCGACACCATGAGGAACATCCGTCAGTGACTAAAGTTGGTTGCCAAACGGGTAATCGTGTTGACTCGAGCTGTTATGATCCACCAACTCTGACAGGTGTCCCGTCCAATGGCGGCCCGATTGCTGCGAATGCTAGCTTGACTCCAGATGCGCAGAGTAAGTCGCAGCGACGAGCTTGCAAAGCCTCGTCTCGTCCGGTTCATGATAATCCAAGGTTGGCCGGCACCTTGAAAGACACCAAGGAAGCAAACTTCAAAAAAACAGCGTCTCGAAGAGGTGTAGCTGAGGCAGGAAAGTACACCGTTCCCCAAGCGCGGGGTTGACATGTCATGCAAAGCGCACGGCTGAATTTTCTTTCGCGGAAAAAAGCAGGGGCGTCGACCCAATTAGGTCTCTCCCCTTTGAAAGCAGATCACAATGTCGAATGACCTCGCTTTCTCCGGGGGCCAATTTGTTCGGCATTGCCTGGTAAGATGCCGTCTTGGGCATCCTGATCCACGTAGCGGTCCGAGGCAAATCCATCTTTAGGCAGGTGAGGATTCTGTTGTGTCTCCCCAGCCAGCCAGTCGGTGGCGTCGTTCGCACTCATCGGAAATAGCACCCACGTTGGAGTACGTGAGGGGAGGCTGCATTCTAGCAAAGTCACATTGATATTCCGCAGCTTCCATTTGAACTTGGGGCTGAGGACTGATGTTGTCCCGAGGCGATCTAGACCCTGTCAAGCGGTTTGGCAGACTGCGGATGAATTGCCCTTCGCCTTGGACTCTCTGCTAGTTGAAGGCCAACGCCAAGACAACGTGTGGAATCAGCATGTGTACGCTAGAGGGATGCCGCTCATCTCGTTGGAGCAAATGCTAAGGCGAGAGTGGCATGGCCGCTGAATTGATGGAAAACACCAGGGCCGTCTCTGACGTGGTATGACGATGGCCGACACTTGGCCGTCTTCCCATTGAGCCGGTTTGCCGAACCCACGCAAAGCTAGAAAATAGCCGGAGTCCCAACTAGGCTTCTTTTGCTTTGGCTGGCAGGGTAGGTCTTATAGTCCTAAATTTAGAACTCGGCGTCCTGCCCAAATTCTGGTGGGCTTGGCAGACCACTGAATTCCTTCATGTGACAAGTGGCTGTTGACTGACCGTCGGACATAAAAGTGGCCTTTGGCTACGCCATTTTTGGTGTAACATCGAGCCTGTCGGCACCCAGTTCCCTCGTTTGCAATTACCCCGAGCTGTCCATCCTGCATTTAGCCCAGTACTCCGTACCCTCTTTCAGCTTTTCATTTGACATGATGGGACGCCAAGTTGACCTGAAGCTTTTTTCTTTTTTTATAATTTGGGGGGAGGTTCTTGGTTGGTTGGGTCGGATGACATAAAGTCATGGAATGAACGGATGAAGCGGGAAAAGGCTTTCGAAGCTTTCATGTCAACGTACGACACGTCGTCTTTTTTTTTTTCGTTAGAGTCCGGCTTGCATGAAGCCTCTTGTCCGTAGTAGAGATCCCCAAGAACCGGAATTTGGCGTCATGGCTTGGGTGCCCGGGGCCACGATAGTGTTCCCTATTGCCCCACAAAATTTGTATTTGACCAACATCCCCCGACCTTTTGCCAAGTGAAATCTTGCCTTCTTCGACTTTGCCTCCCCATTATCGGCCCGTCGTCGGGGGACCCTGGCGAACGCTGCGTCTCGGCAGGAGGACACGGGCGGATGCCTCTTATCGGTCGGCGCTAGTCGACCATCAGGTTTGCCAGTGCACATTTTCAGGGCGAAGCCATGTACGTACTCTCCTCAGAAAAGACTTGAGGACGTGCGGCTCGGCACGAGTATGAGTGCTGATGTCATGTCGCTCGTAACATCCTCAGCCTCTAGTCGGGCAAAGGAAGCTTTGACAATTCGACGACGGTACAACGACTTTTGCAAAGGTCGTCCCGGTCCTGCCGAGTAACTTGCATCATAATTGCAGCCTGCATTGATGTGCATGCAGGTTCCATCGGAATGACAGCACACAGGGGGCGTGAAAACCAGTAGCGAGCAAATTTTGTCGTTGCAGATCGTCCCAACAAAGAAGAGAAGAAGTCTTAAGTCATAACCAGATCATCGTTGACATTGATCCCTCATCAGCTGGCAGTTGCGCCCTCCATCGTGCTTTCCTGGCGAATCGATTGCCCCGTGGTGTCCGAGGAGCACGGCAAGGCAAGCGCGGTGCGAGGAGGGGAGAGTATCGGCATCTCGCCTGGCAAGCAAGGCTTGTGCTGTAAACCCAGACCGTCGTCGATCGACATCGCACTCCTTTTCATTCCATTCGGTGCGACCTGGCTGAATGAGCGCCTCTATCTACGTTGCTATCTAGTAAATGGATTTGCAAATGCTTGTATAATATCTCGTCCCAGGGGAGACTTGGAAAGGCCATGCACAGACCCGTCCCTTGAACAGATGTATCATAACCACTGGCATGCCTGCATCCATAGCGCGATAAGCCTCCGAAACATGCTGAACTTTTCCCCGAATCATCAAGCGTGCATCTCCATAATTCATCCCTGCCCGACTTCTGATTCCGTGTCACCCGACCCTACAAGTCCCGCCAAGAAAGAGGTTACGCCGTAAGGAGATTCAAGCTATAGAGCAGCCATACTCCCAATGAGATGACTCTTCAAATCGGTACACTCAGCTTTGGTGATTCTGAATGAAGCTGACCCAGAGCAAATTAAACAGAGTAGTTATTTGTCAGAGTTTGCCTGTCGTGGGGAGACATCTGTCCGATGAAGTCACTAAATTGCGGCATTATTTGTTTGTATTGGTTCAGGACCTAATGTTCATCAACAGTTAGTCATACCCAGGGGCTCGCCACATATGCCGATCGATTTACACTCACATGCTGAATGACACCGTGAAGTTCCTGCTTCAATGGATTCTGCAGCTCCGAGTCCTCATACTGGGCAACCGCTACAAAGTAATCCAGCAACACCCTTTCCATAGCTTGCGGGTTTCGGCCTACAATCATGGAAAATCCCTTGAAAGCAGAGGCCTTTTCGTCGGTTGGTTCGATTCTCTTCATCATGCCTAGAAATTCCTCGGCGAATGTTGGGAGTGCCGGGCCCAACAACTCCGAGTTTTCTATGCCTAGCCGACCTAGCGCAATAGCAGCATTCTCAGCAAGACTTTTTGGAACACGAGCGTTACTCATGATTTCAACAAGATGTTTGAGAAGACCAGGAACCCATTGTGCCATGCCTTTGCCGTGCTGCATGGTGATCTCGCCCAGGGACCAGCACGTGTTATTGTACGCGCCAAATCCATCTCCGACCTCGTCGTCCAGCATGGAGTCCAAGTCTAGCTGTTTCAGGGCAATTGGTAAAATAGATCCCAGATGCGGCTGCATCAGTGCATATACGTAATTTGCACAATCGCCCAGCAGCGCATATGCAGATTGTCGGACCTCGTCGGCGGGGTCTTCCATGCAGAATGAAAGCAGCTCAAAGAAGGGCTGAGGGGACGTCTTGACAAGCTCCGAGGACTTTTCCTCACCCAGAGCCTGAATAATTGCACTGAGCAGATCAAGACTGGTCACCAGAAAGTCCTTGTCGGGAGTGTCGAGCGCACCGTTGCTTGCAGCAGCTAGACTCTGCTCCAAATTCATGTGAATGATGTTTACGCATCTCACAAAGATTGGAGGGGCATACGGTGCGAATTCGGACCCCACGGCCAATGCAACATAAGATAGGCATTCTAGCAGTGGGAACACCTCTCTGGATTGGTCCGGGACGAGGTTGTATCTTTCCGTCAGGGCTGGCATCAGCTGGTTCATGAGTTCAGGGGTGGCGAGTAATGACCCTATACGCTCAGCTAGCGTCTGAACACAATCGTAGAGAACATACATGTTCTTGTCCTTGTATTTTCCAAAGCATCGAACAAACTGTTGAATAATAGGCCCGCAATATGGCCCAAGGTGGGAGCCAGCCTTGTATTCAATGTTGGCAAAGGCTGAAGCAGCGGCGGCCTGGACCTTTTTGTTTCTGTCCAGCATCTTGCGAAGGATTCCATCCATGAGCGGCACAAAAAATCGCTCCCTCTGACTCTGTTCCGGTAATCCAGCTGCCCATTCTGAATATCGACCCAGCGTCCAGCAGGTGATCTGCCGAACAACGGGTTCGGAATCTTCCAGTAGAGAAATCAAGTACGGCACAAGCTCCGGAAGATGAGGTACGACGACGTCCATGCAGCCCTCGGCAACTGCTCCCAAAGCCAAGACAGCGGCCTCGCGGTGTGGCCACTCATTGTGCTTCAGATTCTGAGACAGGTACGGGAAGATGGCCTCAAAGACAGGATTCCGAAAGTCCCGGGCAAAGACATCCAATGCTGCGGCCGAACACTTGCGAAGCGTCCACCGCTCGTCGGGGTTTTCATCCCCATCATCGAGTTCGTCGATCTCGCCCTCCTCCAAGTCATCATCCATGCTGGCAAGCTTTCCGTAGGTGTTGCCACCTTCATTTTGATGCACCGAGTCACCATTTTCATTGGTATTCCTGTTCAAATTCCTCTTGGCGAATGCTGGCTTAATGTCCTGCTCCCTGTCCTCTTCATCTTCATCATCAGATTCGCCACCGAGAAGAGCAATGTCTTCACCGCTGTAAACCATGCATTCTAGGAGGACAGGGATGATTTTGTTAAGGTATGGCTGCAGGCCTCGCCACAAATCTTCATGCTCTCCTACGGCAAGCCAGAATTCGGCTGCTTCACAAGCGAGGTCTTCATCATCGCCCTTTTGCTGCGAAATAACGTAATCGACCAAGCCGCCGATATGAGGCTGCAGTTTGTCTGGTCGCCTTTCGACAAGGTGGACAAAGGCGCGACAAACTTGTCGTCGAACATCGGGGCTGGTATCGCTGGAAAGAACGAATAGGTGTTGCAGAAGCTCGTCAATCGAGTTGACCATGGCCTGCGAGGCTCGAGGCGTGAAGACGTTAATGGCAGTCAAAGCCCCGGCGCGGACCTTGGGGAGCGGGCTCTTGGTGGCAGCAATGAGCCGGGGAAGCACAAAGTTCAATGGACGCTGTCCATTGACTTCTCTTAAAAAGACACGAGGATTGTCCTCGCAAACCTTGGACATGGCCGACATGGCTCCCTCTTGAGCCTCGTTGGGAACTTGGCCGCTGGCATTTCCGATCATATCCATCAGTTGAGGGAGCAAATCAGGCCAAGTCAGGAGACCACCTCTCCGAATGACCTCCGTTGCAATGTTCCCAGCGTAATTGCGGACCTGGGGATTTTTATCTTGCAGGGCCATGGGAACGGCCAACTTGACGAAGTTTAGGCTCTCCTCGGGTATATTCTTCCACTCTGACTTGACATTGTTCTTCAGCATGATTCCGGCAGCCGATCGCACAAGGTGGTAGTCAGATTCACTGCACTGCAAGCCGTCTGGCGGGTGGGGGCTCGAGAAGAGATATGCAAGATAATTATTGACGTCGGGGGAACTCTTTGCCTGTTGCAGCATCTAGGCGGGACTTAGTATCAATTTTCCCTCGTGAGCAAAGACGCCGGGAGTTACGAACCACTTCGGCCTGCTTCTGAGCGGATTTGTCGAAGCCGCTCAATGAGTCTCTGAGGCACGCGGCGAGCTGCCTGACCGAGTCCTGAGATGGTTGCCACGACATTTCGACGACTTCAAGGGCGGGGGTGTCGAGTCCTGGCGTGTAGTCGGCAACGGATCGCAGCAAAAGCTTCTATTGCGAGTGGCTGTGCGAGAGGGGGTCTTGACGGGCATCAGCCTGTTAGCTCAGAGTAAGGATCACTCGAGGGAAGGCAGATGAAGGACAGCCAGGTAAAAGCATACTCGGTGCAGTCTGCCCCTCCAGGTAATCAGCACCGGGTCACCAGCCAGGGCCGTGGACTCGGGGGGAGCAGGCCGTACAAATGTCGCGGGTTCTGCAGGGCTCGGGGTCGAAAGCTGGCAGGTGCCGCAGGAGGAATGCGAAGTATTGAGCAGCGATTGTCAAGGGCACCAGTACCGTCACCTGCGGGTTGCGCTGCGCTGCATATATGAGCACCAAAGGGTGATCAAAGTCTGTTTGCGAAGCTGAACGACGGCGCCTGGTGCGAGCAGCGTCTATTTGTCTGGCGGGGAAACGAACAGACCCACTGATGAACAAACTTGGAAGCACCGAACTCTGCGGCGGCGGGGTGCGATAACGATAACCCGGCATCCATTTTTGGCCTGGGGAGCAGGGTTCAACTAACACAAGGAGACGATACTTTGAGTCGAAGCCATCCGAATCCGACACCGACATCGACCCCATTTCACGGGGGCGAGTTTACAACGCAGCGAGCCGACGTTTGGCACCCAAGAGCAATGGATCCCCGGATAAATTTCCAATCTTTCTTGGCCCTGTTCTCGACTGGCAGGCAGTACTAGTACCGGTGCGATGTAGCTGCGCATGTGTGCGGAGTCTTTGTCCATGGATGAATGCTTTCCCCCGGTGGCTTCCATAATTCCTGATGACAGTCCTTTAGTGGACCTGACGATCACGAAACCTGGTGCACGCGGCCTGCCCGTCATCCTCTGCAATAATCCCAGAGAGTCGAGCTTCCGACCATCACTCGGCTGATTCCCCGTTGACGGCCAGGGCACCCGCTCCGGCAGCTTGTAATTTATCAACTGTTACCGCAACAATGTTCCTAAACGCCTCCATCTCCTCCTCCACGGTGCCGCCCAGGCCCGCGTTGGCGAAGCTCATGGAATTGGTCACATAGACGGGCAACTGGACTCTTCTGGCGAGAAGCTTTGCCAACCGAGTCGTGAATTCTACACTGTTTTCTGAAGAGAACAGGGTCGTCGAGAGGGGCAGCTTGTCATCAAGCCTCTACGTGCAGCGTCTCCATTAGCCCACATTTGATCATCATGCACACAAGACCGACTACTGACATACGTTGGGCAATGCGTAGACAAAGGAGCCCATGGGCTTCGGGGCCGCCAAGTCATCTTGAGTCGCTGTGGTCAGAGACAACACAACGGCCTTGGCTTGGGTGCCCAGGCGGAGGTAGATGCGCGTGTCCAGAGAGTGGGGGAGGGGTATTGAGAAGGTGAGGGGTTCACCTTGAGTCGCTGCCATGACTGTACGTGGCATCCAGGTGAGAAAGATTCAAGAAACACCCCGGTACACAGGGGTACAGAAAGTATGACGACGATGTGTGCAACCGCTGCTTTCCACCGAGTGCAGTCGACATATGGAGCAACGAAGTGGTGTTGAGATGGAAATAGAAAAGCGCAAGGTGAGTCACATGATTGGCTGGAACCGACACCGCCCGTGTCTCTGATTGGGTCGTGACTTTATCTACAAGCTCCGCTATCTGTATCTGTCCATCCCCCTCCGCGCTGTCGGAAAAAGACATGACGAAGCCGCGCTCCTACGTCAATGCCAGAAGTCGTCGTGGCTTCAGGCTACCGAACAGTTGGAAACCTATCTGAGAGTCCATGTAGCCCAGATACTTCCGCGACTGGTCCTTGCCCCAGGCCAGCTCGAATTGAAGCCAGACGACTGTTGCTGACGTTGCCATGAGAGCCCCCGCCGTGACTAGGCATCTCAACACAAGACCACGGAATGGCGGATCCAGGCGAGCAGTCAGCTTCGTCATCCGAGGCTACTGCCTGGTGCGGGACAGAGGATAACATGGATGATCCAGAGGAGGTGAGAGTAGTTTTCTGTGCCCTTGATTCTTTCTCGTAAGTCTGGCTCCGGCCTGTAAATACCCCTTGGTGTTGCCATGACATCGCTCACTCTCTCATCAACATCGTAGCGTTTGCTACTCTTCTTTTCCCCCTCATATGCTGTTGTATCATGTATGATACCCACTGAAATACGACACTGACCCTTTACTTGTAGCCAATACTCCAAAGTCGCACACTTCAACGTCACTCACCTCAGACGGCGCTCCTTTTACGCCCTCCCCCAGGCTCACTGGAAAATGCTGGCGGCGCACCCCTTCAACTTTCTTGAAACCCTAGACAAGACAGACAACGCAATAGACGCAAACGCCGAGCTGGCCCGCGCAATTGTCGCCCACGGCCTACGGTCATTCCACAACCTCGCCGCCGTCTCTCAGCAGGGCGAGCTCATGATCCCTCTGCAGTGGACGGGCGTAGCCAAACATGGGGATATCGACAAGGCCCGGAGCACGATCCGACAACTCTACAGGGACTGGACAGCAGAAGGCGCCGCCGAGCGCGACGTCTGCTACGCGCCCATCCTGAGGACGCTGGAGCAAGAAAGAGCACGCACGGAGCCGGGTACGCCAGCAAAAGTGCTGGTTCCCGGCGCAGGCCTGGGCAGACTGGTATTTGAGCTGTGCCTCAAGGGATACGAGGCCGAGGGCAACGAGATCTCATACCACCAGCTTCTCGCGTCGTCCTACATCCTGAACGAGTGCCGGGCGGCTGGGAAATACACCATTTACCCCTGGATTCACACATTTTCCAACCATCTCACCCGGGCGAACCATCTCCGGGGCTACAAAGTGCCCGATATCCATCCCGCCACGGCGCTGGCCGGCTCAGCAAACCCGGGAAGCATGTCCATGTGCGCGGCTGACTTCCTCTGCCTGTACGCCGACGAGGAGCACAGGGCATCGTACGATGCTGTCGCGAGCCTGTTCTTCCTCGACACCGCGCCCAATCTGATACGTTACCTGGAAGTCATCCGCCATTGTCTCCGACCAGGTGGCGTTCTCATCAACGTCGGCCCGCTGCTGTGGCATTTTGAGAACCAAGCCCCCGGGAACCACGGGCACGATGACGACGGCGACGGCGAGCACGATTACAACAATTCGTCGGGCATTGCCGACCCAGGAAGCTTCGAGCTGTCCAACGACGAGGTCATGGGATTGTTGGAAAAGCTGGGGTTCACAGTGGAGTGGGCGCAGACGGGAATAGAGACGCCGTACATCCAGGACAACCAGAGCATGCTGCACACTGTATATAAAGCCGCGGCGTGGGTGGCAAGAAAGCCGGGACAGGAGTGATGCATCTCTGTCTGCACGGCACGGCGAGTCGGGCGGACAAGTAGGGGGCGCGAGCATTGCTTGCATATAGAAGAGGACCAACGTTACTATTGGCGCACATGAACCCGCATGGCAACAGAGCTGGTGATGCACGATTCTTCTTGCACCACTGAGCGGCGGCACACGGCGTCTTTGCCGGAAAACCCTCGTCATGTCACCTCGTATCCTGCCATTCCATCCATCCGCACTAATTCTGTACCACGCGGCCGTATTTACAACTTGGAGCTCCCGTCCCCGTGGAAGGCCAGCTCCCCCCTCGCCCACATGGCACCGCCATCGACGGCTATAGCCTCGCCATTGACATGCGAGCCGGCCCTGCTGGCCAGGTAGACAACGACGCCGGCAATATCTTCGGGCACGCCCAACCGCCCCATGGGGTTCGCGTTGCCAATCTTTTCCGCGCCGCCCGCCATGTCCAACAGCCCGTTGGACATCTTGCTGGGGAAGAAGCCGGGGCAGATGGAATTGACCGTGATCCCCCGGGGACCCAGCTCAATGGCCAAGTTGCGACCCAGGTGGATGACCGCCGCCTTGGAAGCCGAGTACCCGTAGGTGCCTTGCTTGCCAATAGTGCCGATGCCTAGGCCGGCGACGCTGGCGGTGATGATGACGCGGGCAGGATCCGCGCGAGAAGCGGCCTTTTGCAGCAGCGGCGCAAAGACGCGGACGGTGTTGAAGACAGCCTTGACGTTGAGGTCCATGACCTTGGCAAAGGCCTCGTCGGGGTGGGTGTCAAAGGCCTGGCCCCAGGTGGCACCGGCATTCGCGAGGAGAATGTCGACGCGGTCGGTGTGCTTCTTGACCTCGTCGAGGAGGTGCGTCACGCCCTTCATGCTGGCCGAGTCGGCGGGGACGGGGATGGCGACGGCGCCTGGCGCGCGGTTGGGCAGCGCGTTGAGCGCGGCGCAGGCTTCGTCGCAGGCGGCGGCTTTGCGGGACGAGATGAAGACCTTGGATGCGCCGGCTTGTAGGAAGCTTTTTTTGGCCGCATGTTAGCTCCTTTCTTCTAGTTCCTTGCCCCCGTCGTGGCCATTTTCATCGGGCCACCCGAGTTCCAACTTACGCCGACGCGGCGTGGAGTCCGAGACCGCGAGAACCGCCCGTCACCACTGCCACCTTTCCCTTGAGTGAGAAGAGGGACGGGAAATCTTCCAACTGGGCTTCGGCCATGACTGCTATCGGTTGTGACGGAATCGATGGATATGCTGGACAGGAGAGAGGCGCACACCGGACCAGGCTGTCGAAAGGTCGGATACTGCATGGATAATGGAACCAAGGTCGGTCGGTCCTCGGTCCACGCCGGCCGGGTGCTTTTGCTCAAGGTTGGTTCAACTTGCTACGCCTCGGGACGGACTTTATCGAGAGCGATTATCTCCGGCCCCGGGCAGCGTGCTTCTGCAGATAGTCCAGCTAGTGCTAGTAGAATCTGACTTCTCCGATGACGACGCCATTCATCGTTGGTGGGGAAGATGCCGAGGTATGTGGGGGATCTGCGTCTTTTCATGATAGTACAATTTCTGCCACAATTGGCTAATCACTTCGCCCATACACATCTCATCCCCCAAGATTCAAGTTGAACCACGGTATGGGCTGGGCGTCGAACGCAGCCTTGCACTGTGGGACGAAATGTCGTTTTCAATTGAGATTCAGACTAGCAATCGACTCGACGTAGAGTACCGAGACACCGTGGGACTTGCACAAGAAATAAATTAATGCCAAACATTCCATGGTTGTTGCATCGGACAACGGGGCAGGGGGTATGCGAGAGTGTCTTGGTAGCTGTGCTCTTCGACCGGTATGCGTTGAAGCGTGATACTGTGGTGTTGTATTCACCAATGTGTGTGTGCTGTTCCTCCACGGTAGGTAAAGTAAAACTTGCAAACAACCGCCATGTACAAGAGTGGAAAAGACAAGGTGTCAGGTACAAAAGAAGCACGCAGACGGATGGAACAAAAAGAACGCAAGAATGAACCATGGAGGGCCCGTCGCCATATTATCTCCATGGCGTCTTGGTTGGTATGGCTGCATTCTGCTCAAACTGATCGTTGCCGCGTCTGCGTCTAGGTCCAACTGCAACCGAAAAGCAGAAAAAGGACAAGGGAAGAAAAAAAAATAGAAGAAGAAAACAAGAAAGAATCGAAAGAGACCTGTACGAAAAACCTTACCAAGCCTCCACATTCTAGTTTGTTGTCACCTAAAATCACCCTTCACTACATCACCCTACTCCTATCAGGAGGGGAAGCTCTACACAATTGTGGACAAAAGCCGGTCATTGCACGGCTGAGAGAGTAACGTATTCGTGCTGAAACAGCAATATCGCGTCAAGAGGTGTGGGCAAAGAGGTAGGGAAAAAACGTGTCTGTAAGCCGAAGCAAGGAATGAGTTGGGTGCGCCACAAGCCCCTGTCTATCTCTCATGCTTTGGGCGTCGGTGATGGACTTTTTCGTCCCAACATTGATTGACGGCGTCTTCGACAATTGGCCAGCTGTCCTGCGCAACAAATCCAATGAAAAAAACACTGACGTTATGTTCGACTGTTACTAGCTTGGAATAGTTCACGCGCGACTCTCTAGAAAGCCTCTCACCATCTTCGGTCAGGTGGACCTGAACAGCAGGAAAGCCTAGACGAGGCTCACCTTCGACTTGACGAGGTCTCTGGCCCGCTTCATAGACGATTCCATGCTTGTTTGGTTTCACCCCTGATTTCTTACAGCCTCTGCCGCCGTAGGTGAGGATCGGGCTATGAATTATTAGCGCTTGGCCCAGCTAGGCTACGTTTGGAATCTTTTCAAAAACAGGGACCTGACCACTCACACACAGGTACAATGCCCATGGTCATTTGCAATCACGATGAAGCGACGAAATCCAACATGGAATTTCACGCCAAATCTGTCCAGTCTTTCTTGTTTCCCAGAGACACTGTGATGTTTCTGGCCGTCCGATGATCCTTGCGGTTCCGACCAGAGCACCTTGAAGATCTATGTATGGGCAGGCAATTGAATTAGCGTGGCTTCGATACTCCAAGCCTGTACATGTGCAAGCAAACTCACCGCTCCTGGGTCGAATTTACTCGAGTGCTCAACTCGATATCCTGGCGACGCATAACATGAGCGATATGGACGTGTACGTGGGATCATTATTTCCTTACTTGGATCGATCAAGTCTTGGTCCTCCGAGTCTGCGGCAATGTGGTTTCGAGGAGTGACGGCGCCATCATCTTCCGGTTCATAGGCTGGGTCGCTATTGTTAAATTTAAGTTGGGCTACAGCGGTGTCCATCCGAGCGGCACGTTCGACGTACTGTGGGGTGAAGCAGAGTAGTTAAAGTCTGATGGGCCGGCAGTAGACTGACCCATGCCATAGGACAAGGCTTGTATGCTATCGAACGGTTGTGGCAGCGCCTGTTGATTGTCGATCGCATCATAGCTAGAACCTGCTGCGGCTGCCGTGGTTGTTAGTAGGGCTTGTATACGAACATTGGGACCAAAAACCGCCATGTATGCAAATTAAGTTGCCTGTTTAATACGAACTTACAATGGTAGGATGTTTCTGGCGACTGATAGCCGCCACGAAAAAGGTATTTATTCTGATCAAATGAGGCTGCTCTGGTAAGCAGAGATGACATCGCGCGTAGTTCGTCAGTGGCGGAGACTCTTACGGTGTACTTGATCATAAGACGGGGTCTGGGAGCTCTGCTGCGGCGTCATAGCAAAGCTTCCGTGGCCATGCGAAGCCGTCGTAGCAGACGACCCTCCATGTCCTTTGCGATGTGAAGAAGTCTTATCATGTGGGTAATGTCTGCTATTGCTGCTGCCGCTCTTCTCTTTGGATGACCTCTCCTTGTCTTTGCTTTTCGACTTGGATGATTTGGACCGTTCTTTTTCCTTGTGACTAGCTACAACGTAGTTCTCTTCGGGTTTATTACGGGACGTGGTTAGTTTCCGAATGTCATTCAAAAACGGCGAAGAGAGACGGTGTCTTTGGTAGAAGTGTCAAACACCGAAACAGCCTCAGTTGTTGCAACTAACCTGGTGAACCGGGCGGCTGCTGTTCGTAGCTCGAGGAAGACGGGGAGAGACTGGTGCTTCCCAGGGTTTGAGTTATTCCCGCAACATCCCCAGACTCCCTGGGGATGTCATAGTTGTAATCATAGTCTAGATTTCCTACCAGTTGTTTAGTATTCAACTCGAACAATGCAAGTCATGACCCAGATTGGGTAGCACACCATTTATATCCTGCCGAACACGATACATGAACTGTTGTCCCTCGTCGTAGGCCCAAGCCGACCAAGGGCCCCATGCATCCATCTTGATGCTGGGATATTAGCCAACATATGAAAAGGCTCTCAGCCGGTATTAGTGCCCGTATCTGATATGTAAGTATGCACGAGGGGCACCTTTGAAGAACGGATCGAGTCACAAGCTCGAGGCGCACAGAAAGGCGAACATCAATCAGCAACAAACACCGCAACCTGTCCTAGGACGGCCAAGAGGGGTTCTTGTAGGATGGGGGAATTCCACGCATGGGGGTGCGGCGCAAAGACTCGGGGTGGAGGAGGCTACAAGCAAACTGAAGCGGCAGCCTCCCAGCCTCCAGTTGCCGTTGCGACGAGCAGGCGAGTTGGCTTGGGAGTCGGGACACAACACCAACGAGCGAGGATCCCACGCCGCACGGGTGGTCAATTCGTCTCAAACAACAATTACATTGCCGCCAGGCGTGGGTAGGCCGTGGGCCAATGTTTCCCCTCTCCCCGGCGTTTCCTGGGCACGCGGCGGCGGTGCCCATGCAGCCGCGACTCTGGGTTGGTTGGCATCTGATGGAGCTGCATCAAGTGGGTTGACGGCATCTCCAACACGCGGATATGATAACAAACTCGCATAGGACGAAAGAGCTGCCACCAAGTGGAGTGCAGGAAGCGGACAATATGGTTGCGCACAAATCGGGCCCGAAACCCAGCACGGCAGCCAGCTTCGCTAGAAAGGTTGCGCGTTCTGATGAAGCTGTGCTATTGTGGGTGCAACCACTCGGAAGATGAAGCTTGCTGCTGCGGTTATGCCCGTCATCCACACGACAGCGCTGGAGATGTGTTTCATCTCATTACGGCAAGGTGGTGGCCGTTCTGGCAAGGGAAGGGCTGGCGCTCCATCAGCTTGCTGTGTCAAGTCCGCCATGCAGCTGCGGTGGTTGCGCCCATTCATGTACGTCGCGCCCGGATCTGAATGACACCCGGATTTGTATTGGACCAAACTGGACCCCATGGTCGTCGGCAGCTTGGGAGTTGGTGGTGGGCAGTCATCCCTGGCGCACATCTTGGAGTGCTTAATAAATGGTGCTCGCATCCGTGTTGGAATCCAGCCCTGATCAGCCAGAACTGTAGTCATCGCGACTGCGACTCAACTGTCAGCTCGCACACCACGAAGTCCTAGGCAACCATCGGACAGTCAGATGGACGAAACAATTGTTGTGAGGCATCTCGGACAGAGCCTCAATATTCTCTCAGCCCGGCGCCGGCTCAGAAGAGGACACGTCGGCGTGCTTGCGCGTAAGCCGAGAGGGTGCGCGCGCGCGCAATGCACCAACGTCGGCGCCAGATTTGCGATGTCGAGAGGAGATGAAATGGATGGGCTTGAATCTTGATAGGCTTGGCATGGGCCCGGCGAGGTCCCATTACTCCGTCGTTGCACGAAAATGAGAGATGAGTACTCCGTACGAAGTCCTGAGTCCTGAGTCCTAGTTACGAAGTGCTGCACTGGACAGGTGGCAGCCTGACCAGGTGCGCCCACGTCGAATTGCAGGAGAATACGCAGCTTTAGCGTCAACGACGGAGAGAGGAGCTTGGAGATGGAGACCGTGAGAATCATGAGCAAGTCAAAATGAGCGTGAAGACGGCGGCGGCCCGGTCGGCACTCCTGGGTCCCGACTCCCGAGTGCCAGTTGGCTGCCCAGTGCCCTCCCCTCCTTGGCCGACTCCAGTTGGCGTCCCCTCACCCATGTGTGCAGCTGTCCATCGCGTCCGTCGTCCATCGTGTGAGTGGCTCCTTCCCTGCGACCTGGTCGAAGCTTGCCCTGAAGGCCCGTTCCGTTCAACGTTGGCTCCCTCGCCCGCCGGCGATGTCCTGGTGGCGGGCGGCCCACAACCCGTGCCCCCCGTAGCCCTCGATCCCCAGTGGACCGGCGCCAGCCCCCAGCGCCGCGTCTCAGAACATGGAAGCCCGTTTGCCCGTCTCCCATTGCATGTTGCACCAAGCGTCAACCTTTGTCCACCCAGTGCTCACATCGACTGCCCCCTGGGTCCTTTTGCAGCTGGCTATTCCCAACAGGAACCTTGATGCACTGCTACAATCAGGCGTGCATCGAGGACCCAGTCCGGGGAGCATCAGACTGGCGGGTGGACATGGGGCCGGTGACTCGTGAGTCGTCTCGACTCTTGAGTCTTGACCAGGCGTGTCGCTTTTTCTCTCCGGAAACGATCTGCCCTTGTCTTTGGCTTTCAATTTCTCGTCCGACCACGGGCATGGATGCCATCATGCTACAGGCGCAATAGCCATTTATGCCGAGACATGGATGTGTCCTGCGTGTGCCATTCCCGGGCCCCCTAGGATTATTACCACACGCGCATTCGCCCTGATCTCACTGGTCTGTCATCTCCTCTACATCCAATCCCGGCGCATCAACGACGACATGGATCAGTCTGTGAGCCCTGCCCTCAGTCGTCGACTCCTTTTGTCTTCTCACAAGGCTGTGTGCTGGCTTGGAGCTGACAAGGAGCTAGTTGCCAAAGTTGTACAATCAACAAAGCAAAGCTTGACCGAGTTTCGTTCCAGTCCGTCCTGCGAATACCAGCGCCCCCTCAAGGGGCGGCGGAAAGGGTGCCCGAAGGCGGAGAAGCCTCATACCTCATTACTTAAAGAGTTCCTTGTTTACGAGCTGTACGAGCACCGAGGGTGAGGAGGGTGTGTCCATGCAAGAAGCACAGAGAACAAGCGACAGACAGAGGCGTCTCCAATACAAGCGTAGCCACACCATCCAGAGCTTCCCACGTCCTTACTCGATATCGACCCCCAATTCTTCATCTCGAATGCCTTCATTCCAGTCGAGGCATGGCCGCTGCCCATCGCTGATGCAGTTTCCCTGCTCAATGCGAGGTGCAGCAGCAACTCCCACGTCTCGTTCAGAGCCACTCATCAGAAACCACCTTTCATCATGCATTCTGCCGCCTCTGGGGGCGTCGGTGCCCCAACTCGCATAGACATAGATGACTCGGACCATGTTGTCCAAACTGACATGTCCGCCAGCTCGAATCGATTGATGAGAAAGCTAGCCACCACGGCCACATGGCGTGATGACGATGATATGAAGGGAAGTGATAGTTCGCAGTTGCATAGCGACGCATCGACTGCCTCGAGCAGAATGACTACCCCAAACCCGCAACCACCGCCAATATCGAGACCATCACTGTCTTCTACTATCGAGACTCATACTCCCCATGTTAGCAGAACGCCTGCAATACCTATTCCCGGAGCTCTGCCACCGCCCCCTCCTCCACCACGTCGTGGCGAGCCTAGATACTTCCAACGATCTAATCAGCCCCGTCAAGTCCCCGAGTTTCCCAGTAACCTGACTCCTGGCTCGAACATTGGTACGAGTGGCTCCCATTTTCTTACTGGACACGCCATTTGTCACGGCCAGACTAACATATCGATTAGGGGAGACGCATATGTTCTCACAATCCTTTCCTATGTCAGATGGATTTCGCCGCGATCAAGCTCTTCAGGCCCCTCCACCGCACGGCTTTCCAGCACCACTTACGTCGCTTGCGGGAAAGTTCAATGCGGACGACCGAGGCATTTTATTACCGACGATGCATAGAGATTCACATCAACCATTAGAAAGCAGCTCGGATGCGATGTTCCCGCAGTATCCATTGCCGAACACATCCAGGTCTACTGGCAGCCCTTTGCAACCGGAAGCTTCCGTATACTCCGGCCTGGGCCACAAGAAGACGGTACGGCTCATGTCAGGGTTGGAAACAAGGAGCGAACGATCGAGTTCTGAGAATAGCTTTGAAGCGGATGCACTTGCATATCGAAACGCTAGACACTTCCCCCCTCAACTGCCCGCCCAACCCAATCATTTGTCAAACCGACAACAAAGGTCATCCGCCACAAATCGAATTACAAACTGGGTATCAGAGTATGAAAAATCATACATTCCTGCAAGAGTACGACGCCATGAAACATACATGGAAGCACCCTCAGACCACTCTGAGTCTGGAGATGGAAGGTCCCAATCATCTGCCGTTTCGTCACGCAATGTCTTCTTGGAACACTCATGGCAGAAATTCCAGCAAAAGCGGGCAGAAGTAAAGAAATTAAAACACTACACGACTACCATACGACAAGAGCAACGAAATTTGCGGCGTCGAATGGATGACGCCGGAAATGCCTTTGTTGCTGTTCTCAGACCTTTGTTAGTGAGCCAACGAAGCGAGATCTTGTCATCATCCCTCGAAGATCTTGACAGACGATGGGCTGCAATGCTGAGACTCAGAGAGGAGTACCATTCCCGTGAAGCGACCTACGAAAGCTTAGAACTTGAACTGGACAAGGAGGAGCAGGAGCTTGATCGACTTGAGACCAAATTCTACAGTCTCTTTACCCCAGGACGTGATGGCCACGCAAAGCAGTCTCTGCCGACACGTAGCAGCACAAACGACACGATTCAGAGCACTGATTCAGAAACTCCATATTGTCTCCTCGGAATTTGTGCTGACAAGTCTTTAGAAGACGTACACCCTCTGTACCACAAATTTTCGGCCGCCGTTGGCGATTTACAGAACGCAAAAGAGGAATACGAGGATTTATTGACGGCAAAAGTTCAGTACGAAGAGGATACACTGGTCAGAGAGCAGACGGGCCGTCCCATGACCCTCGAAGCCGAAGAGTTCTTTGCCGACCTGTCGGACGAGAAAGCTCGGATGCAAAGTTCCATCAAAGAGCTGGAAAGTCAAGTACAGCGACTAAGACAACAATGTGAAGAGCAGGGGGCCATGAAGAAGTTTCTCTCTGTGCAAATGTCTTACATCCTGAACCCCGAGACGACACGTAAGGGCATGTACCTGGAAGACGATGCCAATATCCTTCAAAAACACAAAACTGTAATCCATCCACGTTATTCCGAGCTGCTCACCCAACACAGTCACCTGCTAGATGGCCCAGTTCCCCTCACGGCGAAGCAAGCCTTGACAGCTGCGTGTGAGCTGCCGGATAGCGACCCGTTGAAAAGCCAAAAAAAGCATATTGCTGAAAAGGAATACGCGATCGAGGCCCTTGTTCAAAGCTACAACTCCGAAAGCAAGGCGGATCTCATCAATCGCTGGGTTCTACAACAACTAGGACAATCCCCTTTGAATGCGCTACTCTTGCAGTCCGTCTTTGGCTCAGAATGCGGGCTCAAAATCCGGGACTACTTGCACTGGCAGCTCGATGTATTGCATTACTGGTCGCGAGATGGTACAATGTCTCCGGCCGCGGAGATGGACAAGAGCAGTGTCAGCGAGATGTCGGAGTATTCTGACTGTACAGGAAGCCTTCGACGATCGAGAGCTGCGTCTGATGGCGAGCTTCACCTCAAACCGATGCGAAAAACACTGCGACAAGTCAAGAGTAGCGATACGCTTCGATTCAATGGACAAGCCCTGGCATGAGGTGCCCGTTGTGGCACTCAAATCTTGCCCAATCTTACGGACTTGGACTGTTAGTGATGGTGACAAACCGCACGAGGGTATTGGGCATTCGAGCCCCCATGTCCTGATGACTAGCTAGCTTGACCTAACATCTAGACTTACACTCTATATGAGTGGGTTTTTTTTTCCTTTTTCTTTTTCTTTTCTTTTTTTCCTCCGAAGCGTTCTGTTTACCCAAAACTGCACAGCCCCAAATCTGGAAGCAACAGACCACGAATTGGCGAGCTGGAGAAGAGAACAGTTTGAAACACGTTCCAAAATCTTCATACTCCATTGTTCACCATACGGTTGCTTGAAAATGTACATGGATTGTATTTTTTTGTCGTCATCGTTTTCGTAGTCTGTTTCTGTGTCTGGTTTTGTTCCCTAATTGTAGGGAACCTGGGGAACATGATACCTGGAGCACGCTCAAAAGCTGTCTTCCCCTACGTGAGTAGTTATCTCTCTTCTATTTCTACGGGGCAAAGGCCTTTTCAGTCATCCGCAATGGCAGACATGGTAGATTGTTATGGGTGTTTAATGATGACAAATCTGGACCGAACAAACCGTTCTGATTTCACACTGTTCTATGCGCGCTTGGGAGTTGACCCTTTACAATCGCTCGCGGCTTCGCTTTTCCTGGGAATAACTTATTCGGGTCAATAGTAGGTACCAGTCTCTCGCACGACGACGAAACCTTCGTCCGCCTGGGTGGAGCAATCCCTTCATCCCGTGTGCGGTGTCTCTCGCTTCCTAATCCGCAGTCCAAGCCCATGGTATCTATTTGCTTGAAAGGCAACGGGGACATGGTACAGCTCAGCCGAGGATTGTCCAATTCAGCTGCACTCAGGGGAAAGTGATGAGTTATTCACGTGTTGACAGCATGCGATGTCTCACCTGGACTGCTTTTGGCGCCGTAACAATGGCATCATGGTTCTCAAGTCTTTCACCGAGTAAATCTGTGTGGCCTGTACGTGAGAAAAAAATAGGTTGTACTGATGCCAGGAGACACGTCGTGACCTGGTTACAGCATGGGACCTCACACGGCTTCATACGACGGCAAAGCAGAAAAGCTGTGAAATATATTGAGGTAGAAGTCACAGGGTAGCATGTAGGTATTGAAAAGTCCATTATCGACTTCCTCACGCCGCGAACTCGTTCCCAAGTCCCACTGCGACAGAAGGATCCGTCATCGAGTTAAAATTTTGCCGTCGTTTGGCGATAGGAACAGCACCTCTGAAGTTAATTCTAGTTGCCAAAACATCGCCATCCATCTTGAGGTTCGTCGGTTGTTTTCGGCGAGGACCACCATGACCATATTGACCAACGACGACGCGGCGGCCCTGGCTCTGGCGTTGATTTCTGTCTCGAGCTAGTTTCGTCTGCCGCACGATCACATTTTTTGCCGGCTGCTTTCTTTGCATGGGTCTTCTTGGAGCATGATTTTTGCCCGACGCTTGTGGTGGACTTTGACACGGCGGCACGGCTCGATGTTCTACCGTGAGCCGATTCCGCCGACAGCGGATCGAGCTTCGAATGACCATGGGGTAGGATATGCGATGGCAAGTATGCATACACTGCAGCTGAACTCGTCTGATCGGGGGGCCTTGTAGGCTGAGAGCTATTGGACAAGCTAGCTCGACTTCGGCGTGGTCTTGAATCTGAGCTTTGCGAATGGGAATTGGCCCTGGTCGACGCGGTAGATTTACGTCTGCCTTTGTGGCTCTGTTTCCGTCTCGTCTCCGCGGGGGACACGAAGCAGTTGTAGGGTATTGGGGGGAACATGGCTGCTCACGAGGCTCTCGAGGAGTCTCGGGTCCAGTCGGGGCTGCCTGGCTGGTGAAAGTGAGAAGCGGTCGGACGAGGACGAAGAACACAGCACTGTTGCACAGCTCTGTGGGAGGATATATCAGGACAAGTTGCTGATAGCAAGTATGTAAAAAAAAAAAAAAAAATACTCTGCCGTAGGAAACAAGGCTTTTGGCTCAGACCCTTGGTGACGGAATGCCGTGCACGAGAAGATGCAAGCAGCAGAGGAGCAAGGACACTAGATTTCGCGGCCGTCCGACATTGGCTCCAAGGAAGAGAGAGGTTCTTGCCATCTTGCAGTGTCATTGGTAGCGAGATGCGTTCTCGGTGCAGGAGGACTAGCTCGCTTTCCTTGTCGTTGGACGTCAGTGTCGGATGTGAAGCAAATCGGGAAGGCGTCGGCACTGCGCTTCCACCGTAGCTTCCCTAGGTTTCAGGACGTGTACAGAGATCCACGACAAGCCACCTTCAAGGGCATTTGCTTTGCCATCTGTCATATTATCAACAGCGAAGCAACAGAAAAGCTCTGATACGTAGGTGAAGAGTTGTTTATGCAAGCCACGTTGGCGTACTCGGTATTATCCCTGATCCATTGAGCAGCTTTTGTTCGACGTTTGGCCAACAATTGTTCTGTAAGCCACAATCACATGTAGGTTACGTGTTTGCATTCATGATTTGTCACAACAAACCGTAGTTCCGTCCTCTTTCAATTTCCTCTTAATGGAACAACCGCAGAACCCTCAGCTGGCTTTGGGATTCTATCACAAGATCTAGGGGGATTCAACTACAGGCTATCTCATACTAATGTCATACTATTCATCGTCGTTACTTCGGCTCACATCATACTCCGAATTGCTTAGGCACTGTATCTGCTAGTCCCAGTGGTTCGCATTATTTGATTCTGGGACACATTCCATCTTCCTCAGAGGAAGCGCGCTCGTGCATAAACTCCATCCAACGGATTTGTTATGTCCTTTTGTCACATATCAAGCCTATCCAGCAGCCAACTTCTCTGGTAAAAAAGGAGAGAAGTCCCTCAATCAGGTTGTTGTCTATATAAGGCAACCACTACAATCTTTTTTGTACAGTTACAATGCTGCTTAGATAATTCTCATTCCATAAAATTGGCGCCTATACCGCCATTGTACTCAATCTTTTGTGACCCTCAATTGTCTGACACCTACTCCGTATATTAATACTAGTCCATTCTTTGAACGCGGGTTGAGTCGATGCCACTTTGATGACGGTTTTCAATTTTGTGTACAGCAACACCGAAACAGGCTGTTGACATGGACTTCTGGCGGATTTCCCATTAGGCTGTTCTGTTGCCTCTTGGCTGCAGTTGTACAGCTGAGAAATCGTGGCGTCCACCGTAACCCAATTTAAAAACGTTCTGGAACGTTTGGTAAGGTATAAGGTATGTCCAAAGCGGCGCTAGTCCTAGCTCCTCATTCAGCGTCTACAGTTAATGGTCGGGAAGTCCACCTTATTTCTTGATAGACCGCCCCCGCTCCAACACATTCACTCCCATCTCTTCACCTCCGCAATAGGTCAGCAATTTAGCAAAGACATACGCTCGCCATTGGAGCACCAGACTTTAGAAGAACTACTTATTAACGACTAGGTAATTCTATTTGACTTGCGGGGAATTGACCTCACTAACCGTGCGTAGTAGGCCGAGGAAATCGAACAGCATCTCCTAAGGCCAAAGACATCCCACAACAATCTTGCCAAGATCTTAGCATCCTGGGATAAAGCACTATCAAAGAACAGTATTTCGAAATCCCAGTCAATTAAGCTGCCCCATGACTGGATTCCACCGGCTAAAAACAGGAATTCTCAGTCATACAAGCTCAGTTCATTATAGTCAATTCAATCTCAAGACATCAATATCCCCCATAATGTTGCTGAGTTTCTTAAACAAAACCCCTGTGATTTTTTACGTCAGTAGTCCAAAAACAGTGTCAACCTTTAATCTCCGTCTGATTATTATGAATATACCTGCAATGTGGAAACAGACTGCATTCTTTGCAGGATCTTGTGGAGATTTCTGACAAATTTCTACTATAACCTTATCTTAGAGCTTAATGCTACAAAGAATCTACTTTACAAAACTAAAAATGGTGGTGTCTCCTTTGTAGTTGCTGTAATTTGTTAATTAGGGAAGCATAATTGCGATATCGTTCGGGAAAGGGTGGTAGGCTGGGCGAAGATAGGTCGAAGGTACCGTGGATTTATGGATGCGCTATATTTAGGATGCTTATTTCTGTTTCCTGAGAAAATCAGCGATCTTGTATAAGTCACACTATCTGTTTTTTTAATAACGGTTCTAAATTCTCTACAGCTGGGAGACGTATGTGCCAGTTAAAGGGAGCACATTTGCCAAGGTTACCCAGTTTCTTCAAGAACTTGGCATTATTTGTAAATGCGAGGAAGGAGGCTGGAATGATTTGAGCGACCAAACTCTACAAGCCTTGCGCGAACCTTTTCGGAATGTCATTCCTTTCCAATTTCAACCTGACCAGGAGTCTCAACTCAGATATCCCTCGAACTAGACTTTTGCATCGGCTCCCGGCGATGTCGATGTAAACAGACGTGAACCAGGACCTCTACCAAAGCAAGGTGCCAATCGCGTGATCAAGGCAACTCGAAAAAAAAAAGACACTGCATCCGTGAGGCGGAAGCTGCAGAGCGTCACCGGAGATCTGGCACCTCTCCAGGCGCCTCGCGCGCAGAATTGGGCTCATGGAGATTCTCACCGTCAGTTACCTCGAGCCTCGGCACAATTTTCGACACCTGTTCCCAATGAATGTGGCCAGTGGCACTTAACGACCAATGATCAAATACAACAGCCTGTCAACAATCCTGATAGTACGTCTATCTGAGGAAACGACGTATCGGGAGGAAACTGGTTGTGGCTACCCTGGATCAGTAAAGAGGTCTTCGAGTACAGACATAAACTAACAGTCTCGCTGAGGCGATCAGAGTCTCCTCAGTCATATTGATGCCTAACCGTAAAACCTCTGTCATCTCGATGCAAAGCGCCTTGTGCCCGTGAAAAAGGGTCGTGGTGAGGTTAAAGGACGCAAAATGGGGCTAACACAGGACTATTACGTAGGTTTAAATTTTGGATGAAGCCAGATGACCCGGTATTAACCGGAATCCCCCGAGCACGTTTTGACTCTCAATTGTGTGGGGCTGCCTGCGACTTTTTGTTGTTGGGATAAACACCAGCGGAGGGATTTGGATGGACTGTGTGATTTTTACATGATTTTCCGCAACACTATCTGGAACGATTACTAGTCGTGAAAGGCGTGCTCTTGTTATCAGTTAGACCTATCCCGTAAATTACGCTCCGTGCCACATAGAGAACCTGGAAAGAAGTGTAATTCCGGAGGCGGCATCATTTATACTATTTCGCGTGATGTATCACGTCTTTGCTTCTCCCAGCCCAATCTCTGCTATGGTATCATTGAATGCTTTGATGATTGGATCATACAGGATATTTGGATCCTGTGGGGTGCCAGTGAAGAGACCATCCTTATGCGGGAACAGAACGTCCCTTACTGCCCTGCACAAAGGCTTGACACCATCAAAAGCCTCCGGAAATTCTCTCAGAATGACTTCTAGTCCATTTTTGTCCATGTCCCCACGCTTGCTTTGCGCGATGTCTTCGTACCCTCCAGTATACCACCGCGATAGCATACTTTTTTTCGGCCGCTGGCCTGACGCTCTTGATAATGCCCAGCCTCGACGAGCGCAGAGCCATATTAGAACGTAGAAGAATGCTTCAAGATCATGGCGATATGTGTGCGAAATTCCTAGAAGAACTTCAATAGCCATAAATTCCATTGTGCCCGTCCGATGCCGGGCCCCACTAGGACCTTTTCCTTCTTCCTTAGCCAAGTCAAGGTCGATGAGCATGCCCTTGAAGCCATCGGCATTCTCTGGGTCGGTGATAATGATGTTGTTTTCAGAAATGTCTCGGTGCAGAATTTTCCCGTCTGTGTAGAGTGATCGATGCACTTTGATGGCGTCACAAAGGCCTTCAAGCAGCTCGATAACGCCCTTGAACTGGGTAATGGACCGTCCCGCCGGCGAGATGGCTAATACGCGAAAGATGCGGTTGGCATAAGGTGTCTGGTCGTGATCTTGCTGAACAAGACTGATACCTTGTGGTTCTTGGGCGGGGTAAGTTGCTCCGTTCTCTTTGTGCTCTGTGTCGGCCACCTGATTATTCGGCCGAGATCTCTTAGACGCATTGCTTGACCCATCCGTTGCCTTCCTCTTTCTGTGTCCGCTGCTGGCAATGCTAAGACCGGGAAACTGGCTGAAAGATTGGCTTAGCGGGGGTTGCGATTGAGAGAACGACGTATTGGCACCGTGTGACATGCCAGGAAAGTTATGTGGAGTTGAGAAGACCAGACCTTCACGCAACCTGCTTATACTAGTGACTTCATTGTAGCCAACTAATTTCGCGAGACCCTTAACGCCGCGTTCGTTTGCCTTTTTAAGAAGATCAGTCTCTGGCGGTCGCATGCTAGAAGTCCAAGAGTATTTGACGACCCCGTCAAATACTGCTGCGCCAGTGGCCTTAGCGAGGAAGCAAGACGTGCCACGACAGACTATGGCTCGCTGATGGGCGATCGGATTGGGGTTGAGTTCAAGCTGCTGCTTCTTTCCGCGAGCTTCAACAGGTATGGTGACAAGCAACCTGTTGTCTTTTGCTTTAGTAAAAGTATCCAAGCCAAGCTCCTCATCACTCATCATCAAATATGCACATATGACCCGAATGAACTTCTCGGGCTCCTTATGGATGTCAAATGTAGTGCCGCTGTACGGCCCAGACCGATCAAAGATCCATGTCTCCATTTCTGTCCCAGTCAAAGTGAAGGCGTGCACGAAAAATCGTGTAGGCTGGTAAGCGAACACGTTTCGCACAGCGCTGCCAACCTGAAGCCACAGGCTCTTGTTTTTCTGGTGAGACTGCTTGAGTTCGCCGACAACTAACACGTGCTTCCAGTCGTGCTTTGTGTCTGACGCTTCATCTCTTTTCATTTTAACAAAAAGGTCTAGTTGCTCTGACGACTCAGCCCTAACTTTTTGGTGTCTGTTGCTTCTAAAGTATGCTGCCCGTTCAGTCGCGAGCAGCTCTTCCTGCAAGTTGAGTAGCCAGCCACACACCTCATCCTTGGTGGCAGCGTCAGGCAATTGTGTCCACCTCTTGTCTTTGTCGCTATAGCGACTATTAGCGCTCTGCCAGATTCGCCTGGCTCGCATGTTCCATTTATGTCCTTCAAAATATTTCTCGTGAAATCCCGCGACCGCACGGTGTGTACAATAGCGAATCTCTTCGAACACGCGAGGTTCAATCTTCCGTCGCGTCTGCTCTGACCCTTGCTGCGAAGCGGATGAATGTGTCATGCGGCTTTCGAAGGATGGCGGGAGGCTTGGCGGTGGAGTCGAGTGAGAAATCGATCGGATGAGGGCTACAACGGCAGCCCAGATGTCGACATCTGGTGCTTGCTTGATCACAAGCTGTGATAGCGGGCGAAATTGCTTGTACTTGAGATCGCCTTTCTGTACACGTAGGCGAATTGCCGTCAGATCAGACACAAGAGCCTCCCTTCCTGTTCTTGAGGCCAATGCTAGCGAAACATCAGATGCAGATAGAATAGAGAATATTTTTCCTATTGCTGCCACGAACAAGCGGGGTCGTTCTGGGGCAGCTGTGCTGTCATCTGATTGAGAGGCTTCATGGTGGGTGTGTCGTTCGGCCTTTCGTAATGCCTCACGAATGCCGCCGAGCGAGTCCCCAAGAGGATTTGCATCGACGATGTCGCGCTCTTCTTGAGTAAGATGAGCCATTCTGTAGGCTAGCAGAGCCGGCAGAACATCATTAGTAGAACGTGGGATTGATAAGACAATCTCAGCATGTCATTCCATCAGAGAGATGAAATGTGAGAAGAGGGAACTCCAGGATATCTAGCATTGACCACTAGCTCTGTCCTGCTGAGTAAGCAAACCAGAAGTCCGGGGAGCCCATAGGTTCGCGCGCCGCAAAATTAAAATTCCATGGGTACCGCAAAAATAACTAAGCATTCTTAGACTGCGTTATAAACTAAGTTTACATTTGCGTATAAAGTGTTTACTTACAATCGCCTAATAAAAAAATTTAAACAAAATAGAAAAGTTATTTCCATTTGCCTATAATTGCCTGCCTCTGAGGCTTAATTATATATCCTGTGATAACTGTAATATTCTTCTTAAGTTTATAGTTAATACTAGTAATACTTATATATAGTTACCTATAAAGCTATTAAGAACTGGAAAGACATAGCCCCAAGCTACTGGTCTATGAAGGGATACCGCGTCGTACGACGATTCGGCTGGGACACCCATGATGTTCCGGTTGGATATCAAGTCGACGATGTCACACGGAAAGGCTCAACCACATGACTAGCTGCGATGCACAAAGGTTGCAGCTATCACGATGCCCTCATAGGCCCAACATGCCTCCGCCATTGATGCCTCAGTCGTCCCGCCAGGCTACACAAACAGACACCTTCTTGTGTATATAGCCCTCGTTGGCCAGTGCCTTCAGATGGAGGAACCAAGGACCTCAAGACTATGCGATACCATATGCTAATATGAGTCTTTGCTCCGAGCCCTGATCTTCGTGACCAGCCCTCGGTCCACCTGCATTTGTCAAGGCAAACGATTTGCAAATTCGATCGCCAATGATGTCCATATGGCCACAACATCACGTCTAATCCCCCGGCGACGGATGCTGATGCAGTGATGTCATCTGGAAGGGACCGAATCGGAAGCGCTCTTCGTAGCAGGCCTTGAAAGACGTCGGCGTGGACTGGGCCAGGAGTGGAAGGACCATCTTGGAAAGAGGAGAGCACCGTTGGGGACTTGACACGAATAGTCAGAGCCCAAGCTGTTAGTAGTCATAAGAACAGAGACATCCATCTAAAGAAGAAGGAGATTTAGGGGACTCATATAGTCACCACTGCTTACTTGACTATCTGCAAGGTCTCTATGAATCCTTTCCCGATATCTCTCCATGTACTCCACTGTAACTTCACCCACCCAGAACGAACAGTGACATGACACTCTTTAGAAGCCGACGGCGCGGGACAATCACGAAAGCACTTGATTGATATCTAGGAAGTTTAAATTGAGTCAAACGAATGACTGAAGCACCAATTGTGCTCCCCCGCATTGCACACTGTACTTTGCCATGCCCCTTGCCCGAGCACGCAAAAACAAAAAAAAACTAGCTGCTGTCTGGACGTCCATCTGCTCTTTCGTGCTCCTCGTGCTCCTCGGGATCACTGGGCGTGGCTGTAGGAGGGTTCTCGAGGAGATTCGACAGAAACACTATGTGATTCTCCAGCAGCTCATTGTCCTTCTTGTGCATCCGCCATATTTCTTCCGCCGCCTTGGTAACGAGCCACACTCTTGTTCGAGCCATTGTATGATCCATTCCAGCCTCATTGCACGTGGCTTTAAGTCGTTGTAGTTTAATCTCATCGATCTCTTCTCCCTCCTCTATTTTAGCCATTTCCTCGTTCAAAGCGGTTCTCGCGTTCACATAGCGAGTACGAGAACGTGTCTCCTCGGCCCGCCGAACCTTGATTCCCAGACGAGCTGCCTCCTTAGTTCGTATGGTTTCGAGTTTCTTCGAGTTTCTTTCCACATTCCTTCGAAGAGAATCGATTTTGCGCTGTAGCCGGCGGGCTTCGGATTGGCTCGACATTTTGCAAAGTGGTGAGATGGAATTCTGTCAGATGGGGCTTTTGAGAGTCAAAGACGGAACGGCGTGTCGATCGTGCAAAAGCCGATGTGCTCTTGACTTTGAAGAAGGTCGGTAGTCTGTTGTTGAAGAGGATGGTAGCTTGTGGATGAAGGCCAGTAGAGGCACCGGGGAGACGGCGTCTTATAGGCACGGCCGACCATCGAGTTGTCCCATTGCATCATGTTGCACGTAGTCTTGTCTTCAGTTGTCAAGTGTAGAGTGAGGAATGTGGTGTCGGTGTTTGCAGGATGTGCTCGGTCCGGATAACGGGAGGTCACGTCGACATTACCGATGATGGGGAGGCCACATCGAGCAGATTACCCGATGATGCGAGTGCACATCGAGTTAGCTCACCGCGGCAGACAGCAGGGTCGAGACGCAACAAACATGTGTGAATGATGCGCACCACGCACCGAGGCGGGCTCATTCTTTTGCTGTACGCTGCCTTTGAAGCTCAGAACGCCGGCGGCACAGGGACGACTCTCAAAACGACTCCCAACGTACAGTCCAATGAGACGAATGTGTCGAGACACGCAGGTCTTTTTGCTGCTTCGATAGGTTGTAGCTTCTGCATGTTGCGGACCTGCCCGCATGAACGCACCCAGATGTTGAGGAGTGCATTCACGACTTGTTTCGGCTATTTCAACCGCATGTCAACCCGTTGCTCTCACCATGTTTGGCCTCGAACCGGTTGGGCTCGGTCGGTAGACACTGGGATGTAGAGCCCGCATGTGCCTGGCAATTTTTGGAGCAAGGAGACGGTTTCTGCTACACGGTCACACAAGGACCGTTCATAACCCGTACAAAGGACGTTCTTACGGTTCAATGGAGGCATTGCTTCAAGCCCTGTTACTGCAGCCCTTGTCACAAGTCACACACTTCAACACACTTCCCTTGGAGGTCCTTTCGCTCCGCGTCCTGAATCGGGTAATCCTGATCCTGCCAGATCCTGCAGAGGTAGACTTTGTCATCGTCCGTGTGTCTCCGTAAAACGGCTCGTGGGCGAGCTGGTGGGAGAGGAAGCTGGCATCCCACTGGGGGCTGGGTTACATGAGGGCTACAATCACGAGACTTGGGGCAGAAGGTTGCTGCATGAATCGAAGCCTGTGGGCACGAGGGACTTGTGCAAAACAAAAGATGCTTTGATGCCAAAGCGTGTCATCACAAGTGAATTGAGTGAGCTATTGCTCCAGGCCCTGTTGCTGCGGCCCGGCCACGACTATACGGACGCTTTTCGTACTGGAGGCGCCGACATCCCATCAGAGACGGAAATTCTTGCCGCTCTGGGCTGATTTTCATAACGAGGGACTGAGACGTGGCTTCAGCCTAGTGCTTGTTCAGGAATCAGCGAGAGCATCTGCAAAGGCGGAGCTTGGCGAAGCCCAGCCATTTCGTCGTCATATTGAAGAGGTTCCTTGGGACAAGTCAAAAACTGCAAAAATTGCGCGGCCAGGGCATACACAATGGAGGACTTGGAGCAACATGACAACGACGCTCGATTTAGCTAGCAAACGACTTTGGGGTATCAAATGTCTCCTACTTGCAAAAAGCGGCGAGCTTGAATATCCAATGCCAACAGCAGGCTCGAGGCCTGAGGTCTCTGATGCTCGGCGACTCGTTTACGTGACGGTTGGTCGGTAGTGGCTTGCCCGCGCGTAGAATCGTTGGCTGATCCAGAGACATATGTATAGACAAGACGTCGTTGACTATGTGGTGGGCAGAAACGCGTCCCAGACGAGCGATGGAAAGGTCCGACCTCGGAGACGAATGTCTCGGCAATACTCCCCCATGGTGCCACGAACTCCTCCCGGGCCTAGTTTGGCTCACTGCGACGAAGCTGAAGGAAGCGAGAAGTGTTTTCTTTTTCATCCGCCGAGATGAATGCACGGGGGGCTGCTTTCAGCCAGCCACCCAAAGTATGCCACGTTTAACGTAGCATTGTCCCGAGACGCCCGCAGATTTTTTGCACCCGATCTGCAAGGGCTGCAGCAGGCAGCAGACTGCAGGTGACACGTGAGCTTGGAGAAGGGCCATATAAAAAGTCTCATGCCGCGCGTGCTGGCAGAGGCACGCAAAGCACGACCAGGTTGTCGAGTTCCGCGAAACCACGACAGCCAACATGATTGGGACCTTGGTCTCGTGCATGCTCGACCTGGCCAGCTGGCTGTCCAGCTACGGCCATGACCCTTGGGGCGTGACGCCGCTCACGGCTCAGCAGCGTCGGAGCTCCCTGAACTCCTCCGTGTGCGAGGCAAGGCAGCCCTCAGTCTCTGCGCCGCATGGGAATATCTGGGCCGCGCTCACTGACAAGGAAGCTGCTGACGTTGTCGACCTCTTGCGCCGGGACTCGACCGGCCTCAACCTCACTGCATATGACTCTGCCGGAAGGTGAGGGACCTGCATCGCGTGGAGTCGTGGACGGCCTGGTGTGTGTCTGACGTGGTTGAATAGCTGGGATAACAAAATGTACGTTGCCTTGTCCGTCAAATGTACGCCCACGGCTCACGCGTGCGTCTCAGCCTTCTCGTGGAGCTCCTGCTCCCAAATAAGAGCGATGCGCTTCCGCTTCTCAACAACAAGACGACCAAGGCTCCTCGACGGTGCGCCCGCGCGACTCTGATGTTCGGGGCCACGCCCAATCCCTATCTCCAGGACTATGTAATTGGCCCCCTTCCCGTCACTAACATGACCGAGGTGCAGCCGCTTCGTTTCCTCTACAACAACGCCGGCAAAGGCAGAGTGGCTGTGGATTTTGCTGATGGCGGCGCCCTGGTGGATTTTGCCAACGGCGTGGGCTTGTCTGTGGCCGACATCACAAAGCTTCTGTGGAACGCTGTGAGTAGCCAGTCATGACGAGAGAGAGTCGGTCAAGATGTTCTAAGCAGCAGCAGACCCTGGAGGATACGCTCAGCCTGCTGCCGGGATATCCGCCCTTGAGGGACAAGGGCAGGTTGACTGTGTGGTACAACTTCGTAAACCAGCCCGCCTCGATATTTGACACGGAGACGATTCTTCCCCTTGGTCTGTCCTTCGGGCTGGATGCCACGGGTCGCGATCCGTAAAAATGGTCCGTGGTAGGATGGCATTACAACGGCATATTCTACCCAACCGCCGACGCGTTCCGGGCCGCCGCAACGTCTGCAAACTTCACCAAGCTCGGAGCCAACGTCGACGGCCCGTGGGCTCAGCTGGATAAGCAAGGTGACCCGATGAAGTTTGACAACCAGCCGCCGCCCACGCCCGTTATGCCGGGGCCCAATCGCTTCTCCGTCGACAGCAAGGAAAGCTATGTCGAGTGGAGTAGGTGCCGGACAGTTTCCTTGCTTCGTCCGTCTCTTCCATGGCTGGGTGTCTGGGCTGAAAGTTGATGTAGTGGATTTCTCTTTTTTCCTGTCGTACAACCGGGACAATGGGTTGCGCCTCTTCAACGTCAAATACAAGGGCAGACGGATTCTATACGAAGTACGTTATGTTGGCCCGTGCTGTCGAAAACGAGCATCCCGTCGAGCTGGCTCCTAACTGTTCATCCACCATCCACCAGTTGGGCCTGCAGGAGGCCCTGGCTCACTACGCGTACGTGTGTGTTGTTGGAAAACGTGTGAAAGCACGACTCGGCCTGACATGTCGCAGAGGAAATGAACCGGCACAGTCCGGCACCATGTAAGGCGGCCCCGGTGGCCAGATAGATGACGTGTCCAGCTCTCACATGATATCACCGCCGCAGTTACTTCGACAGCAAGCCCGGCGTTGGGCCAAGTGTGGTATCTCTTGTCGATGGTGAGTGCTGCGTGCGCCGACGACGGCGTCAAAACGGGGTACAAGTTTGACAAGGGCACTAGGCTATGACTGCCCGACATACTCGACGTATCTGAATGCCACCTACCAAGAGGGAGAAAGGTCCTACAGTCGGGCCAACGCCATTTGTGAGTCTGACGACAGGCGTGTCGCCCAGCACCTTGGCCCACTAACATGCCCAGGTCTGTTCGAGTTTGACCAGGGATACCCGATGCATCGCCACTCTGCTGCTCATTACACCACTGTTACCAAGAACATTGCCTTTACAGTAAGGTCCGTCTCGACCATTGCGAACTACGACTACATGTTCTCGTACAATTTCTTCCTGGACGGCGGCATCGAGGTCTCCGTACGGGCGTCTGGGTACATCCTCGGGGGCTTTTCCGCCAACAACGAAGACTACGGGTGGAAGATACACGACCATCTGTCTGGCTCCATCCACGACCATGTGCTCACTTACAAGGCCGATATTGATATACTGGGCGAGAAGAACAGCCTCCAAAAGGTGGAGTTTGTGCGCGCTGTCGCCGAGTAAGTCATGCAGGAATCCCCCCCTTTTCTCCCGGGAGCTCCAACGGCGCAGCTGCTGACGGCATCTCAAAAACAACTCGCGACAACCAAAGATACCCGTGATCGAGAGGTGCCAAGCGGAGCACGATGAAGTTGCAGAAATCGTTCATCCTGAACGAGAGCGAAGCCAAGATCAACTGGGCCCCCAACAGTGCTGCAGCGTACGCCATCGTCAACAAGGACGCCACCAACGAGTTTGGAGAATACCCCGGCTACAAGTTCTCTCCCGGTAGGTGGGCTCTCCTCTCCATCATCTGGGCGGAGCTGATTCCGCAGCAACTTCCAATGCCATCTTCCTGACGGTCGCGAACCCGTCCAACGCCCTCGAGGCCGTCAACTTCGCCGACCACCACTTCTACGTGACCCGGCAGAAGGACACAGAAGCTCAGGCCGCTCATCCGTACAACGTGCTTGATCCTGCAGACCCCGTCATCGACTTTGCCAAGTTCTTTGATGGCGAGTCTCTGCATCAGGAGGACCTGTAAGCGGCGCCTCGCCACCGACTGGGCCCCCGCGGCGCAACAACAAGACGACCGACTAACGGCACCCACAGCGTCCTTTGGTTCAATCTCGGAATGCACCACGCGCCGCATACTGGCGACGTCCCCAATACTCTGTTCGCCACGGCACACTCGGCGCTTCGAATGGAGCCGCTCAACTACCTCCCGCTTGACCCCTCGCGCGCCACGTCCCAGCAGGTCCGGCTGAACTACAAAGACGGCAAGGTACAGTCCCTCAAGACGTTTGGCTCCCGGAACACGACTTGTCAAGTTGGCACGGTACGTCTGCCTCGCGCCCCAGCTTGCGGTCTCGTCGCCGGCTAACCCAGGCCGAAAATGCGCGCAGAGCCAGATGGTTCCCAAGCTCTGGAGGGACACAGGTACGGCATGAGTACTCTAGCTTCTTCTCCCGGCCAGTGGCAAACACCGAGCCGCCCGCGTGTCTAATTACTGCAACCCCTTGCTGGAAATCGTTGTCCCGATGCGTCTAACTCGGACAAGTGTAATGATAGGACTATAAAGCAAGGCATCGATGCAAGCGAGATCTGTAAACACACAATTTGGGGTAACTCTAGAGGAAAAGACACGATTGAAACAGAAAGGATCAAGGCAAGAGTACATGTCGTTGTGGTAAATAGCGCGTTGAACATGCTTGTGCGCAAGGCATAGAGAGGGTTCATGACGGGATAGGCAAACGACGGCCGGAAGGCCTGCTTTGAGCCTCGGCCCTGTACAAAATTCGAAAAGTCAAGTCTTCAAGTCAGGTCCCAGGAGACTTGATGCTTTTGCCAAGAACTGGACCTTGCAGGGCTGTGCGTATAAGCGTTGCTAGTAACTACGAATTAAGAAAGTAGACAGTTCTGTCCCGCTTTTCTCTGGTCAAATTAAATCTTGGGAGGAATATACTACGTGTCTCTAATGTGGCCGAGAACAGGGCGCACTAATACGGTCTGAAGCTCCCGGCTTGAGTCCACGACAACTTTACAAGTGATACACACACGCATACAGAGAGTGTAGATGACCCGACCATTGCTCGCCCACCTGAGCTGACCTGACTATTGCTAGTAGAGACTTTAGTGGAGCTTTAATTTTAGAAGTTACTACTTGTTAGAGTTAGGGTTAAAGCTAGAGTAAGAGTTAAGGTTAGGTGTTCAAGTTAACTCCTCCGTATATATTACCTAATTAGGAAAGAGCAATAGTCAGGTCAGGTAGGCGAGCAATGGCCGGGTCATCTGCATTCTCCAGGAAGAGTCCTGGAGCTGAGACCTCAGCATCGTGATAGCTGCAACCTTTGTGCCTTGCAGCTAGTCATGTGTTCGAGGCTTTTGCGTGCAACAACAAATCAATACGCTGGCAATTCAGTCTTTTGCTCCCAGTCCTCTACGTGGAGCCCTTGATACACCTATCGCAACCGGTAGTCGGGGAGTCGACCGGATGGGACAGTTGTCGCAGGAGAAATTGAATCAGCGCTGATAATGCTGGAAACGGAGCTTGACTGCAGAATTAGATCTTGCTAGACATAGGGTCAGAGACGACAAAATGCCGAATATTAAGCCGCGTGTAATCTGTCAGGTCTTGTCTTAGTTCCTAGACCTGAATCTCTACTAAATTTATGATAAAACTCCTAGTATGAGAAAATATTGCTCACTACCTTTGTTATTATAAACTATTGCCTGAATATTCTGAAGAGTTCATCACTGTTATACCCCGCTAGGTGCTATGGAAGCCCTAGGCGCCATTTGGCCATCTCCTGCAGGAACACTCGTGGGTAACGGGCTGACGCAGTCTCTTAGAAGCGTGAATGCAAGCCAAGGACACGCAACCCAGACAAGGTCAGCTGGTGCGTTGCAGGTATAAACGCCCTGATTGACGTCACCGCAACCCATGGACATGCGACGCCTCCGCAGGCGGTGTCTGAATCCACTCCAGCCTATAAGCTATAGAAATAAAAGTATATATAGAGCAAAGTGTTATAACAGGATTAGCACCACAATCAAAGCCATCAGCTGGAGCCCAAGGGACAATAACTCGCCAGTGCAGGGCAATAGATCCAGAGTACCTTGGCAAGATGACGCACTGGAAATTGATCCACCAGCGCAGTGTCACGCCGTGCTGGCCGTGACCAGAGCAAAGCGTCGTTTGGCCGAGGTGCGTGGCGGCGAGTTCGCCTGCGGTCCGTTGCGGAATTCCTTGCAGTTCACGTTGAAGTTCCGACGGAGCAGTGATCCGAGAGACTAGACGCGCCAAGAGCTACACGGCGTCTGGTTCGATACACGCAACACCCGAAACCAAGAATGAAAACCCGCCAACCTGGCGTTGCTCGCAAAAGACAGCTAGAGCCTGGCAACAGAAGAAAGTCCCCCTCATCTAGTGCAGTTCAGGGCGACTACATTCGCTCACTATAGCCTGCAGAGCCCTCGCTAGCTTTGTAAAAAGTATTTTACTGCAGCGTGTCGGGTCACATCGTGGCGAATGGTCGAGGACAATTCAAACGGGGGCAGTGGTGATAAAGCGTCCACTCTCCAACGGGCGCGGCAGTCGATTCCAATGCTTTCAGATGGCTCTGGCAGCGCAGGCCGGTGCGGCGCATATTGTCATGGAACAGAAAAGGACGAGGTCACCGTTGTCTGTGCCGTGGAGCGCGAGGCATCATCCATCATCTACCCCTATCCGACGGGCATATATTGAAGATTCATCCCTTCAGACGCCTGCTCCTTTCAACGTCCAAGCAAAAATCAAAGACCTGGGGATGGTTGAGCAAAATCATACACAGTGGACTCAACCTTGAGCTGTGCTCCTTGCCACCAAGGGGGGTTACCAAGGCACAAGCGGCTCGCTTCGACGGTAGTCCGATGCAGAGGTTTCGTGCGTGCTACAGAACACGTGGTGTGGCATGTCGCTAGACAGGAAGATGCGCTCAACTAGAGCGATGAAGAAGGTGATAGTATCCCGCCCGCAGCTTAGGGCTCGATAGAACGGTGGCCACGCCCAGAGTTGGTCGGAATGCATGGCGATGCCCTGTCGTGCTGGAGACTCTTGGGCGGCGTCGCGAGGCGGGAACCCGGCAAAGACTGTGAAGGCGGCCGACGTTGCAGCGAGGTCTTGTAATACTATTAGCTTTGTCCCTGTGCACGCTTCTCCAAGGCGAGTCGTCGAGGGGCGACTGCTCACAAAACAGGGGGGAAATGGCACCATGGCCCCTCGGAGACGCTCTCCGACTGCTTCTCTCTTGTTCCCCAGAGAACAAGATGCAAAAGGCTTTCATTGTGGCCACAAACTGGTCCGTGACGTTGATGTTCTGCCGGGCCTCCCTCCGAGTCCACCATTTCGAGTGCCGGTGCCGGTGCCGGTGCCGGTGCCGGCAGAAGGCGAGGGCAACGAGGGCTGGACCCCTTCCCTGCTCCAGACCCCTGAATCTTGATAGCCACGTTGCGTTTGCCGTTCCGCCCCCACCGGAGAGAGCAGTGAGTCGGTGGGAGCTCGCCGACGAGCAGGCTGTCCAGTGTCCCGGGCATCGGCGAAACCGAACGTGGCCGGCCCATGTCCTCCGTCTCCCACAGGTCTGGCCGATGTGTCAAGAGGACTCCAAATTGCCTAGAACGAGATCGATTCCGCCCTCCGCCCGCCTCAGGCATGGATCGTTGGAACACGATTCAGGGAACAAGCAGGGAAAAGCCTCCCGAGACAGACACGTGGATAGCTGGCTGAACTTTAATCTGGACTTGCGTCAAGCAAGCGACCCCGGCGGTACACGTAATCCCTTCAATACAGCTCACGCGAGGGCATGAAATTAAGGATATTTACGCTATGCCAGCTGCGGCGGTGTATGAATCGCGCGGCAAGGCGGCAGGCAGGCCTGGGAGGCAAAAAGTAAAATTGAGAGGTGGGCGCTTGGCATGCCGCTGAGCTGGGCGGGCCTGTCGCACAGGGTGGCAAGAGACTCACGCTCCTACGATGATGAGACTATGTTGATGTTGTTGTTGTGTTTTTGTGTTGTTATTACATAGTGCATTATTGTATAGTTGTGTTGTTTTTATATAATTATCTTGTCATCACGTTGTATTATACACTTGTGTCATTATTACAGTTGTCCCTGCTGTCACCTGTGTACGTCTAAACGCCAAGCGCTGCACTTTGCATTTTGCACTTTGCATGTTGACTTTTGCAAACCCTTTGCACTGTGCCTCAGACGGCAGATCATGACACGACAGCCAGGCAAAACATCAGGGGTGCGACGAAATGACTGCCAGCCGCGCATGACCACAGTCTATTGCAGTGGACACAACCTAGTTTCAAATTAAAAGAGCCGAGAGAGAAGTTTGCTGAGCAAAAAAAAAAAGTTCTTCTCAGCAACACGTACGTACGTACGTCTCGTATCCCCTCGGCCTCTCCACTGGCGCATGAACGAACCTCCTGCTTCCAGCCGACGCATAAACGTTGCATCTACAGTGTCGACTGCAGTCATGAATCGTTTTCACGGTAGTCGCTTAGCTGTCTTCTCTGGGTACTCGAGGCTTGTGATTTCTCTCTAGACTCCAGACTCTGGATTCCTATAAGTAGCCCTACCTGGGCCGAAGAGGTCAGGCATGCTTCCACGACAAAGATCCATCCAAAGAAGAAGAACAAAATAACAAGATACATTTTTTCAGCCTACACTATCCACCTACCATTCCCACTCTTTATCCTCATCAAGCTCACTCCAACCCCTTGCGCCATCACCATGTTGTTCGTCCTGCCCTTGTTGCTCTGTGCCGCGGGTGTCAGCGCGGACCTCCCAAGCAAAGATCAGGAAGTCAATGCCGGAGGCGTAACCATTTGTGCCAATGGCTGTGCCCACGGAGAGACCTTTTACCAAGAGGACGGGCCTACGTGCCACATCGACGAGGCTGTGCCGCATCCCAAGTTTGGCAGATATGGCATGTGGATTTGCGGGGACAGAAAGACGGGCACATTTACAAAGCGCCGAAACGTGCCACAGTGCGCTGCTTACCATGGCTCTGATAACTGCCCCGCTTACAAGGTGGTCAACGAAAACAGTAACGCCAAAGTCTGCTCCAGAGTCGACAGGTTCAGGGTTCAACAATTTGGGCGCCAGGAAATGAACGGCAGCCGTCGAGAGCCGTAGAGATGAGCGTTTGTCGAGACAAAATGGGCGAATGGTTTCGTGACTGTCGAGGTGAGGGGAGAGACTTTAGTCAATGCGACCAAGAAGTCAAGGACAGATATGAGGAGTGTCTTAGCGGGCACACTGGCGGACGGTTGCCAAAGGCGACGTACTCGGGAGACGAGCCGGTTTGGCAATGAACTGAAGCCGTCAAGAGGCCGTACAGAGAGGTGCTTGTATTGGCAAACGCTGGAATGTGCTTGGTGTCTGTCTACTCAAGCAAGGGATGGCGGAAACCTTGGGGCCCTAGGGACTGCGACGAAAAAGCAAAAGGGTGGCCTCGTACGAGTTGAGAACCAATGTAGTACAGTGTCTAGCTGTGTGTTGTTTTGTCTTTTTGTCTTTTTTTTTTTTTTGATGATTTATCCTTCTGGTTTTTTTGAAAGAAAAATTAAAAACAATTCACCAGCATTGAGAACATCTCTTGTCGCCCCAGCTTGTAGCCTCTCTTCTCCCGTTCCACGACCACATGGCACACGTGCTTGAGGAATACAACGGCAAACGCGGGACTCCAGGAGACGAGGACAGGTAATGCATGGAGCCCGACGACTTTGTAGCCCAGAAATGCCCTAATCAATGGCCTTGAAAAGCCCTGCCGAGCGTACAGTTGGTGCCATGGACCTCGTGGCCAGCGAGGACCAGCAATGCGCGGCCGAGACGGCGCAGCAGCGCCAACCAGGCCATGATGTGTCGATAACTACAACTATACCTGCGACGCTCACACAATCAGTGCCTTGACCTTTGAATTCGGTGAGGCGGAAGACTGCAACAACTGCCAGGACTACTTCTCCTCTACTAAAGGGGAACACGGGAAGATAATATTCAGAGTAGCATAGGACCAACAGCACTTCTGCTCGTTCTCAACAAGGGGGATCCCAAGGTCAAGAGATAGAATGAGGACTACAACGCATCACGGCGGCCAACAACACAGCACGAGCGCCGTGACACGTATGGGCCCAAGTATCTCGAGTGTCGAGACGAGAGTTGCCGAGGCCAAGTCGGCACAGACTTTGAAATCTGCACAGCCAGAACCAGAGGGCCAGAGGGGCCCTGCCCTGTTGCTTGGCTCACCGACCTTTTGGCGTCGCGGGATGTGCTGGCTCGTGGCTGGTCCTAGATGGAACAACAGAGAATGGGCTGCCGTCTCGGTCACGAGTCATAACTTGCGACTTGCAAGCTTGCATTTTGCGGCAGAGTGGATGCGAGTAGTTTCTCATCAAAGAGACGAGGGAAGTTACCCGCAAGAAAAAGTTTATTTTCTCAGCAACGCGTGTAGTATTTCCACGTCATCTCTACCAGCGCATCAACTGCTCCTGGCCGCCGCATGAATGTCGCATCTATAGTGCCGCATCTAGTCGTGACTCTCGACCGTAATCGTGGGCTTTTCCATGGTGGTTTCTCAGCTGCCTTCTCCGTGTACACGTGGCCCTGTGGTTTCTCTCTGGATTCTAGACTCTTGGACTCTGAACCCAGACTCTGGGTTTTCATAAATAGCCCTGCAGGAAGCACCTGGATCGAAGGATTCCAACACGCTTCCACCCCAGAATCACAACCAAAGAACAAAGAAACAAACCGCCTCTCCGGCCTACACTCACCCACTGTTCCTACTCTACCCTTGTCAGCTTCACCCCAACCCGCGCCATCACCATGTTGTTCGTCCTGCCCTTGCTGCTCAGTGCCGTGAGTGCCAGGTCCCTATTGGTCACCGACATTGATGGAAATGTCTTTTGTCCCGACGGCTGTACCCGGCAGCGCTCAGGGCGATGCTTCTAATTGTTCGAGTACGATCGAGTGCTTGCTTTGCTTCCACGGGACTCCTGGTGCCCAGCACTTGGAATTATGCCCCCTCCACGGCGTCTACGTCTGGAGATGCGGATACAAGACGGCCTTGATCTCTCGGGGTTGACGTCTCGTCAAAGAGCGTGAGCTGCTTGGGTGACGGGGATGCGCTGGGCACCGGTCCCTCCAACACGGAGACGGATGGTGCTGCTGTTTTCGTTTTCAAAGGCATGTAGGTTTTTCAGCTTGACAGGTGGTGTGGGCGCGGATAAAGGTTACTTGTGCATCGTTGACCTTGTAGACGTGGAAGCCAAATACGTGAATACGTTTATATACTAGGCGACTCGCCACGCCGTGAGGTCATGATCCCCCCCGTTGAAACTGTGGCCCCGAAAAGTAGTCCCCGAGTCTAGACGACCCGGCCGTTGCATTCTCTCAGCATGTGGAATTCCACATGTCAGCGCTGTGAGCCGAGGGCCCGGACGTGATGCGGTCAAACCCATCTGCGGCATGACCAGCTATTCGGATGAAGAGTAACTTGTGAGCAATCAGCCGCCGCGTCGTCTTTCTTTCCTGGCGTCTGTGGCACGTGCACGGTTGCGATAGTTATCATCAGGGGCTGCATGGCCATCCCATGGAGAGGCTGCTGCCTTTTTCAAGCACGCCAAGTACATTACCTGCAGGAAATTCAGGGACTATAGTGCTACGGTAAGAGCAGGCATAAATGTCTACACGTGGTATAGCTACTGCCGTGGAGAAAAGACTGTGTGTTCTCGTCGACTGGGTTGTACGTGCCAAGAGCCCCCGGTGTAGATGCCTTCACAGACGGTGGTGCAGAATCAATCAATAACGTTGCTTGTCAACCTGCCTCGACTAGGCCTTGGCCGACACGGCACCGCGTCCTGCGGCGTCCGGCAGCAGGGCGGGAATAGGCTCATCCTCCCCGTCCTCCTTCATGCCCCCCAGAATCATCGACTTGGGCGCCATGGCCTGCCACAGCTCCGGGTCGGTAAAGGCCTTGAACTTCTCGTCGTGCCACTGGCCCGCGGTGATGGCACGGCCCTCCGAGTCGACAAACATGGTGTCGTCCTCGGCGCGCAGGAAGTAGGCAATGGAGTAGCGGTGCTCGGTCGGGTCAAAGGGCACGACGCGGTGGATGCAGCTCTGGAACTTCATGCCGCTGGCGAAGCGGAGAGAGTCGCCGACGTGCACGAAGGCGCAGCCGGGCCTGGGCGCCACGAAGCCCATCTCACGCGCGCCGCAGGCACCGGGAGGGCGAATCTGCAGGCCCCATTGCTCGCTGAAGAGCAGCGTGAGCGTGCTGATGTCGGTGTGTTTCTGGTGACCGATGCGGTTCTCGCCCGCGAGCTCCGACGGGAGGTAGTGCATCAAGGAAAGCTATTCGCAGCGCGCACCAGTCAGCGGCGGGAAACACGGGGGGCATCGGCTTACTCGGGGCATGACGGCGGGCCGTGACGAGGCATTCCCAGTTCACGAACCGCGGCAGGGACTCGGGGAGGACGCAGACGCACAGTCGTGGTCGAGGGCCGCTCGTTGCGGTGCGAGTTCTCGAAGCGCCCGGCACCGGTGAGATGCAGGCCCGTGGACAGCGCCGACAGGATGACCTTGGTGACGGTGTTGCAGCTGCCGATGGTGTTTTCGAGGATCTTCAGGTCGCCGCTGTTCTTGACCGGCGCCGGGATCTTGGGGCTGTCCCTCTGGATCTCGTCCCGCGACACCTTGAGCATCTCGTAGCCGTCCTTGGTGCCGGCTCCGACACCAGTGCGGCTGCCCACGGGTTCGTAGCTGGGCAGAGCAGAGAATTGGTCAGATGACAGATCAGAGTCGTGCGTAATGCGTTATTGATTGTCCGAGTCTGGCCCGGAGCAGGACAAAGGGGAGGGAGCCGGGGGAGCCACACACCCCAGGTGCGACGAGATCAGGCCAAACTCGTTCTTGGCCTCAATGGGGGCATCGAAGAAGCGCTTCATCAACTTGAGCGTCTCCTGCTGGTCGCTGAGCATTCGCCGGCCGTCGATGCCCTGGAGGTCGAGATAAAAGTAGCCCTCTTCCAAGCAGGCGTTGACCACCTTGTCGATCTCGCCGGGATCCTGCGAGAGCAGGAGCCCGTAGTTGATGGTCTGCATAGACCAGACGGGCACCTTCTTGCCCATCCAGTCAACGGTCTGCGGGGGGTCAAGGACGGGGGCCATGGTGCTGCTGCTGCTGCTGCTGCTGCTGCTGCTCTCGTGATGCAGGGTACTGAGTAATAGGGTCCGCAGCCGTGGGAGAGGGTTGGTGCATGGGGACTCGACGGCCAGCGAGGAAAGAGGGCGTGAGTGCAATGTTATATACCCAGGTGGATGAATGCCCGGCCCAGCCAAGCACGACGTATTCACTGCATCGTCGTAGCCTTGAAGCCCGGATACGCCTCGTTACTCCGCACTCGGATGGCTGCCAACATGACTCTGCCACCCCGTCCCATGGCCAACATCGGCTACACAGCCTTTCACGGCATACCATCTGTTTCCCAAGTGGGCGAGAATTCCCAGTTCAACCCCGCTTCCGCAGACCCGCAAGCCGCACCAAACTTTGATTGTGTTATATCACACATCGGAGAGTAGCATCCTCCCCCTCCAACCCACCATCGACGTTACCCGCCCAGGGACCTAGGTGCTCAGGATCTGTGGCTAGTAGCAGACTAGGCATCTAACCTCGATGCTCTGCCGAGACTCGCACGCTCGGTAGGCGGGGTCTTCAAAGGCAGAGTGCAGCGACCGGCGGGCGACGGCGCCGTCCGAGTCGAAGCACTTGATGAGCAACACGTCCTGGGGCGTCATGCCGTGCTTGTAAAACCAGCGGTGGTCCGGGCTGTGGCGCACAACCCACGATTCACCGACAAAGTCATCCTCGGTCATCTCGGCCCCCACGAGATGGGAATCGGCCACGGACCCGGCGTCGGCCACGGCGATGGGGTCCTTGAGGATGGGCTGGATCGGCCGCCAAACGTTGATGATCTGGTACCGCCGCTTGATCAGCTCGTCCGCCTCGGTGGGGAATTCCCAGCGCAGCCGCCGCTCGGCACCCTCGTACGACTGGTCGACGTGCGTTCTGGTCACGGGCCCGCGGCTGGCCAGGTTGTGCAGGCCGAGATGGTGCCACTGAGTCGGACCGCGCCGCACCTTGTGGTTGAAGATGTGAACGGCGCGGGCCCCTGTGATGCTTTTGACGAGCTGCTCGCACTCGTCGTAGTAGACGGACTGGATCTGCCGCTCGTCGGTAAAGGCCTCCTCCCGGCTCCTGTGGCGGCAGTATTGGAATCCGTGGCCGTCGAGCGTGTATTGGTCCTCGTCCCCGCTGATGTCAGAAACCACAAAATCCCACGCCTTGTGTGGCCGTTTGTTGCTGATTCTCCCCTTGCCAATGTAGATGGGCGTCGGCTTGGAGCCATCTCCCGGGTCGTCCCAGTAGTTCAACGTAGTCGCCACATCACGTTTGTTGACGGCCATTGTTTTCCTGCCTTTGGCTGTTGCCCCGTTGCGGATCGATAAAACCAACGATTTCCAGGTTGACGTCCTTTGTGGGTTTGGAAGGAGAACGCCCCAGAGTGTTTTTAGGAGAGGGTCGAAAAGACGGGACAAGTGTTGAACATGCTCAAAGGCCCGAGTAGGGTCTGCTGACTCAGCTCGGGGTGAAGCGTCAATTCATCACCTCGACAGTCGAGCACCTGGTCATGGAAACAAAGAAATCACAGCCATCCGTAGCATGACCCCGTGGCTGACATGGAAGAAGACGGATTCGTGCTCGTGTCAAGACCTGGCGACGACTCTGAGGAGTGCAAAACTTGGTGCGAGTACCTGCCCGAAATCGACCATTTCATCCGTGGTTTGGAGCCTCTTCTGTGGTCCCTCAACAGCTTCATCCACGACAACCCCGAGCTCGCCTACAGGGAGTACAAGGCTCACGATGCCCTGACCAACTTCATGCAGTTCCAAGAGGGATGGAACGTCACTCGCTCGGCTCATGGGCTGGAAACGGCGTGGGTGGCCGTCCATGACAGCGGTCGGCCTGGCCCTACCGTTGCGTTCAACGCGGAGATGGGTAACGCCATGGAATTCCCTTTGGCCCCGAGGCTCTCTCCTGCCTCGAGCACGGCGCTCGCAGATACTGACCAGAAGATGCAGATGCGCTTCCCGACCTAGGCCACGCATGCGGACATAATCTCATCGCCATGGTGTCCCTGGCCGCCGGCCTCGCCGCTGCCGAAATGCTGCGCCGCCACCGCCTCGCCGGCAAGATCATGATTGTTGGCACGCCCGCCGAGGAAGGCGGCGCTGGCGGCAAGATCAAATGCCTCGAGGCGGGCGCCTACGCAGACGTCGACGTCTCGCTCATATCTCACCCCGGAATCCTGCACAACAGCCCGCTGGTCCGGACAACAGCCTTTACGCACCTCAACGTCGCCTACCACGGGCGTGCCGCGCACGCCGCCAACAGCCCGTGGTTGGGCATCAACGCGCTGGACGCCCTCGTCGTAGCGTACAACGCCGTGTCGGTGCTGCGCCAGCAGACGAGGCCCGACGACGTTTTAGGCCTGCAAATCACAGACGGCGGGGACAAACCCAACGTCATCCACGAGCACGCCGCCGGCGTTGCTGTGCTTCGCGCCGCCACCGCGTCCCGGCTGGAAGAGCTGCAGCGGAAGGTGGAGGCATGTTTCCGCGCGGGGGCCGAAGCCACGGGGGCGAGGGTCGAGATCGAGGTTGTGCCCGGCTACAAGGATCATGTCCCCAACCGCGCGCTCGCGGCATCCTACAGGAGGTACTGGGAGGCCCTGCCTGGTGCGCCTGATCCGCAGCTGCCACCGCCAGGGCAGTTCACGTGGGTCAAGGCCAGTACAGACCAGGGCAATTTGAGTCATGCTCTGCCCAGTATGAACGTCAGCTTCGCCATTCCTCCCGGGCCTGAAGCCCGACCGCCACATAGTCCTGATTTCGAGAAGGCGTCCGGGACAAGGGGAGCGTTTGCTCGGGCCATGCGGGTTGCCAAGGCAATGGCCGGGACGGCAGTTGACGTATGCGCAATGCCGGGTCTGTTGCAAGAGATAAAGGAGCAATGGAAGCGCGATGTGGGTGAGCAAAACGGATATTGATTAACACCGTCGGGGGCGTAAATATGATTGCACAACGTGTGCTTTCCCTACAGATGTCGCAATCCATGACTGTGACTTTTGTATTTGCAAGTAAACAGCCAGTTTGGACCCGTGAAGAAGCTCGGAATTTCCATGTCAACCCCCAAAAGTAAGTCCCGAATCTACTAGTTATTCAGAACGACCATAGCATATCTCGTGTACAAAGTTCGCCCTTGGAAAAGGGTCATGCCACGGACACGGCTCTGCGTTGGTCCCACTGATTCGGTGTTGGCCGTTTGGCCGTTTGGCATTCTGAAATACCGGACGCACTGATGTCCCTTTGAGCAACTTCTTACAACTCGCCATAGACACCAAGGAAGTGGCTGCATTTTTCGTGTCGAGCAACAGGTCATCTGTGTCATCTGTAACAGCCCTACCACAAAGGTGCTTTTACAATCAGAGACGTCCTCGCCGTCCAAGAGTACCTATCACGAATTACGCCTGTGTCATCAAGGAACTCGTTCCATAGTCTGACCGCAACTAGACACGCAGACTGGATGTACACGGGTTTTCAACTACATTGAATTCATGTGCGAATGCAAGCCCTGCTTCTGAAATGCACCGATGGCTAAACCAGGCACGTTGTGTTCCATCGGCCAAGGCGTCCCGCGCGGCGGCTAGAGAGCCGTGCTGCTAGCTGCAAGCCAGTGGGAAGCAACCGCGCCTCTCGTCTACTCCAGATGGGGTCAATGAAGGATTTACGCAGCATGTATACCGGAAGGATGTGTCGACGACCGACTAGGTAAGGTATGGAATTCATCTCGCCCCCGTACCACATGGAACGCATGTCCGACTCTAAAGGGGGCCAGCGAGGTCAGTCATCCAGCAGGCAAGGCAGAGTCATTTTGGCCCCTCGCCACTGCCGGCGGAGCTTTATGCTTCCCGGAGCATCATCCGTCGTGCTCCTGACGCCTGCCACGGCTGCCGCCTCGTGCTCGTGCCGCTGGGGCTTTTCATCCCCCGTGGTCATCTGCCCGTTGGTAAGGTAGAATGGCGAGCGCGGGTGGCAGCAGGTGGTGATGTGCAGCCCTCGACGACGGCGTCGAAGCGCTTTGCAGCGTCTTCCGGGTCGTTCTTGAAGGCCTGGGTGAAGAGCCCCGTGTCGTTTCTGGCGCCTCCATCCCTGGCGGGTTGGGCGGCACGCAAGGCGCCTGCATGGCCAGCAGCGTCAATCTCAACCTGCGTAGGGGCACAGTTTCTTGCTTCCTCGGGCAGATACTTGGTCTGAGAACGGTGCCCTGGACCCCAGGCTTGTAGGGCTGCTGCTTGTAGCAGTAGTACTACTAGTATTACTACTAGGGCTTTCCCCGTGGTAAGTTTTTCGTGCTTCGAGTTTCATGCCGTGGCATGCAGACGCAAAAGAAGTGTAGTAGACGTGCACGGAATCACGGGCGTACTGATGCACTGGTGACTCGAGCATCACAAAAAGAGCGCGCTCCAATAGAGCATCAACTGTACACGCCTACACTCAGGTGGAAATAAGAGCAGCCTGTGCACTCCTGCAACGTCTTTAATTGTCTCACGATTGAAGTAGTAAGCCCCTTTATCTACAAATCCACGTTTAACCTTGTTAAACCAACCAAGACCGTCTGACTACTTTCAAACCAGACGAAATCAGATGCCAACACACCGCGAAACTGGCCTGCCGAGCGGCATTTCAGCAACGCAGAGCAGTTTGATTTTACTCTATTGTAGGGTCTAGTCTAGAGTCATGCGCTAGGACGTCAAGCAAAGTGACAATATTAGCAATTCCATTAAATTAGAATGCAATTATATTCGCCGCTATAAGGGAACTTCTAGCGCCACGCTCTTATAGTTGTCCATGAGAGATTCAAATTGTAAAGGTCTATCGAGGGCGGGTAGGTGTACCACCTCTCAGGCCGACACGGCATTGCTTGTAGAGGAAAAGTGGACTCATATTCCAGACCGCGTTTCTCTCCGTCTCTCTTGCTTCCAGGCAACGTGCCGGTTCCCAGCTCACGATGCCGCTGGATGTACCGCGGTGGATGAGTCGTCGTCGGATGGCGGCCTTTGCTGTTGTCGGGCTTCAGAGCGGACTGACGCTCCTCCTGTTCTTGCTTTGTGCTGTGGTTTCTGCCGCCCAAAGGTCCGGTAGTTCGATGCTGGCTGCTCTGAGCTGCTCTCCGAGTCGTATTTCCCGTCGGCACCGGCTTGTTGCAGCGGAATTGCGGCCATTTTGGGCGAATAGGCCATGTCCATCTCGTCCTTGATCGCCGGCGCCTTGTCCGAGTTGTCCGGTTCCACAGAGCACTCACTACTAGTACTACCACGAGTCAGTCGTGCCGTGCCGTGCGTGCGTCTCGGGCGGCTCCGTCGGGCATACCTTGGAGCGGCGGACTGCTGCGACCCATGAGCTGTGCAGAGAAATCCTGGGCCATGTCCTACGTTCCCGGCCGGAGGGATGCCACCGTGACGCCCCGGACTCGGCACCGGCAGCCGTGGGTTGTTCGCTTGTGCAACGTGGTTCGCCGCTATTTGTGCTGCATCGCCGGCCGGGCCCGGGCTGTTCACACCATGGTCGGGGTATATCCTCGCTCTTTCGGCACTAGACGCCGGCAAGAGGCAGCTAGATACCAAAATGTACCCTCTCCATGTCTTGACGGCTTGGAAATGGTCTTCCATGCGAATCTTGCCCTGATTCGGACACAACCGTCCAAATTACCTGCTACATAAAGATGTTACAAAACCACAGTCAACAATGCGGAATCCCTCATCCAAGGCACGCGTAGGTGGCGCAGCATCTGGTTAAATCGTTTTCTTTTTTTCCCCCGTCTACTCGAAACAAAGGACCCCCTTTCCACCATTGCTGCGTCGATGGCCAGCCCATTTTCATCGCTGTCCGCCTACACAAGCAATCGGAGCTTGCAGTGTCGATCGGTGGTTGGACAGATGCGAGTACTAGTGCCCGGTCGAAAGAAAGAAAAGAAAAACATGTGGCTGTCGGAATCATGCATGGCCAGCAGCAGCCTGGCCAAGGTTCTTGCCAGCCGGGCCACGGCCCATGGCAAGGCCACCCCAAATCCAACATGCGGGCCTGGCGCCATGATATGATATCTCTCTGGCCGTTCTTCCGTCTTCCTCGAATGATGCTTTTGATACCGGGCGTAAAGGACGGCCCTTGTTTCCCGGAACTTGGTCCGTATGGCCGCTGGTCAAAAGGTAGAGCAGATCAAGACATGGATCAAGTCACTAGCGACGGCACTGCATCCGAACGCCCCAGTGTTTGTGGCTATGAGTGGCAACTTGGATAGACCTTCCAAGTCTGGTCAGTGCTTTTGAATCCCTGATCAATGATGCCAGAAAAGCCCCAGGAACTCGGCACTTGAAATACGACGCACGAGGAACATGGCCCTGGCCCCGGCTCCTGCGGCCAGAGCGTCGACCACCCGCTACTTTGGGAGTGGTTATATTTTGCTTCTCCTGTCAAACTCGCGCCTCTTTTTCGTTCTGCAGCAAATCATGTCTGCGAAAACTATTCATTCTTTGTCTGGTTCCAACACTGGATCCTTGAAGCGTAGGTCGGGCCAACACCTGTGGCCCGCCATGTTTTAAAAGCCTACTCTCTTGCAATGATATCCAAACCCGACAGAAAAGGCCGGGACCGCTGTGAGGAGGCCAAGATGTGAATGGGAAAAGAATCTTGTCACCCTCGACACATCACTAACAGATTATCCCGGTGCCATTGCCACGACACGGGCACGGCGGGTGGGGAGACGAGAGGCCAAGGGTTTAGGTAAACGAGTTAATCGATCTTCCAATGTCCTTGGTCCACGAAAGACTGTGATGCTCCAACACGGAGTCATCAGCAAGCTCAGACTTTGAGATTCTTATGAGCCACTGCGGTCTCCGCCTCCGGAGCCTGCATCCCGGGTACAATTACTCGTAATGGCCATGTCTTGCGTCATAATGTCAACTCGCAACAAAGATTGAACGGGCTTGGAGCGCACATTGCAGACTGGCACAACCGAACAGAGTCGTGAACGAATAAACAGTGAATGCGCCATTGCATGAGGCCTGCAGCTCGGAACATGCGACAAGGGCTGTAGTGACAAGGCCCGGGGCCCTAGTTCAAGTCAATGCTCACAACACACCTCGGTATTGAAGGTCCCCCGGCTTTCCACGAGACCCTCGGTGCCAATAGGCTTCTATGCATGCATGATGCAGCAACTTTCTCCTTGGGTCCTGTGGTCATGGTCCTGGTGTAACCGTGGCGCCTGGTGGCCCGTGGGCGAGCTTGACAAGGGCTCGTCTGAGGGCTTGGAGCACTTTAGCTAGACTTGCATATAACACACTTTGTTTGGTATTCAAGATCCTTGGTTTCTGCAAGGCCCTTTCGACCAGAGGCTTCCTTTTGTGCACCAGCAGCCTTCTGCAGCCCCAGCTCTTGTGACCGGGCCCTGTGTCACCGTTCGTGTGACAGTGAGGTTCCCGTCAATTTCAAGTCGTTATTTGCCCATGCAGAGAAGGGCATGGTCAGGAATTGGTTTCGGTGATATGCTATCGTTAACTTTCCCTAGACTAGACCTGAGTTGTCTCGCAGCGATAATACCGAGTTTGCAAACTAAACTCGTTGACTTTCGACGACAGGTTCCCCTGTTGTCATATATTTTTTGGCAACCATGTTACATGCGCTGTGAGCGGGATAGTCCTCTATCAAATTACAGTCGTTTCTCGAAGCCCGTCTGCTACGGTCCTGGACACACCAAGCTCCGCAGGGAACTGATTGCTTGAAAAAAGAGGGGAAGCAAGAATAATGTCCAAGTTCCGATGGAGTTTCTCTCAGTTTCTCTGGGGCACAACCAGGGCATGCGTCCCGTGCTTGGAAGGATCTCTTTGAACAAATTGGACCTCACGAGGTCTGGTATCAGAATTCTGCGGGCGCCGGATTCATCATGTACGTGATGCGGTGTGTTTAGTCTAAACATGTAGCCCAATTTAACTAGAGCCTAATTTTGGAGCTTAGCAAACGTTCAAATTAACACTGTACCATCTGAGTTACGAGCCCAGAGACAGCTGCAAGGCCCAGAAACACGATTGCTCTTCGATTCGTCAACCGAGCATCCCGGAACTGCACGGGCACGGTGTCTCGTCGTCGCTACTGGAAACACTACCTGTAGCCCGTGAGTCTTTTCAAAGCATACCAGCAGGCGTGATTGCTAGGAGACTTTCGCCAGACTTCCCCTGGTACTGTGTCGCATAATCGAAAGTCCGATCTGTCATTGTGGCTCGTGAGGGACTAGGAAGCACAGACAGTGGCAGCAGACTGATTGTAACAAAGGCTGCTCACGTTGACCGGGGCTTAGAGCAAGACTCATGCCAGCATATAATGTCGTATAGACAGACAGTCCTTGGTTTCCTCGATTCCTTATCCCGGATAAGCCGACCAACGACGGCTATATACCAGAACACGCCCGTGTAGCCTGGCTAGATGACTTAGTCAAGGTTGAGACATGTGCTTGAAGCCGAGTTGAAAAGCAATCGAGAAAGAAAGGGCGACAAACGGGAGAGGCAACTGCCTCATAAGTTTCTATTTGGCAGCCAGACCCATATCCCCAACGGCTGTGGCGCCATGAACGGTCTGGTGGTCTAGTGGTATGATTCTGGCTTAGGGATAACCCTGATGCACGCATGCGAGAGGTCCCGGGTTCAATCCCCGGCCAGACCCAATATTTTTGCGTTTCTGCTTCGTTGCTGTCTTGGCGGGAGGAATCGGGAATTTAATTTCGGTGGATAATAACAAACGGTAGTTGCTACTACTACGGAAGCTAAGCTAAGCTTAGCTTAGCTGCGGGCGGCGTGCCGCAGGGCAGCCGGGCTGGTCGCAGAGTCCCCGCACGTCGCGCTTCGCAGAGAGGGAAAAGTCTCTGGGCGGCGTGTCATGTTAGTAGCAGCGTTGTTTGAAGTGACTCAGGTGAGTGCCCGCTAGACTTTGTCAAGATGCAGGGCTTGATGAGTGCGAGCTCTTTTGCAACAAAATGAGAAATTAGATCTATATCGAAATCACAAACGGTCCCTTATGTCACAAGCCATCTATCGTATCTACTGGCGCACCCGGAACGGATGGGCCTCCGTGTTGAACACAAACTCGTTCCCGCCCCTTGCCTGGAACTGCACCGCGGAATCGCGCGCAAACGTGAGATACGAGTACTTGAGTGTCTCGGCAAGGAAAAAGCTCTGCTGAAAGTCATCTTGGCCCCCGCCATCCTCCCGCATCACATCCTTGAGTCCGGAGAAGCCGTACCCGCCTGCACACAAGTCACGGACGGCGCTGAAGGCTTTCCAGACCATGTCCCTGTACTTTTGGTCGCCGGTCACGCGGTACGCGTAGTATAGGCTCTCTATAGTCTCGGGCCGGAGGACGTATCCGCCGGAGATGGACCAGAACCCGGCTTTATTGTAGAAGTCGGCCTGCTCCTTGGGTGCGCTGCGCCCGTCGTCGGCAGCGACCCATTGGAACCCTTCGGGACCGATGCGGGCTGGCGTCCGCCGGTACGTCTCATAGTACGACGACGCCAGGTCGAGGCCAAATTCGATGTACCTGGCTTCACCGAGCAAGACGCCGGCTAGGATGAAGTTGCCGCCGGCAAAGGATGCCACTGGACGCGCGGTTAGCAAATGCGCACTTGGCCTCGGGGGTGTCTGGGGCTTTACTCACAGTGGCCGGACCAGTTGTTGATGTTCTTTCCGTTATATTGCGCCAGGAACGTCAGGTCGGGCCGGGTGCTGGGGTGCGAGGCAAGGTGCTGCATGGTCGATTCGGCAGCCGTCACCCAGCGGTCTTTGTAGTAAGAAAACTCGGCTGGGTCGTACAGGTACATCTTGATGAGATATTCGTAGAAGCTGTCGGTGCCGCCTCCCCACCCGCCACTCTGATCTTGGAACTTGCCATCCTTGATGTTGACAGTATATCCGATCAGGCCAGGGTAGGGCTCGGGCTCGCCGGTAGGGCTCATGAGGTAGAGTTGGGCTCTCTGGGCAAGCTGCGCGTAAGTCTTGTTGCCCGTGAGATCACTCAAGCGTGTCCATTCGAGGACCAATGTGCCGAACCCTGCCGGACCGTTGGTGGCTGAGCCCCCGATTCGACGGGTAGGGTTGAGAAAAACCGAGTCATCAGGGATGCCGGTCGGTGTGTCAAAGGCAATGCTGAGGCTGTCGGCGAGCGTCGTGGCCTGCGTGAGGAGAGCTTCGACCAACTCCGAGTTGTCGTCGTCGACAAGGTTGCTCATGGGACCTTTTAACAAGTCGAAGGCTTGAGGACAATGGTTAGCACAAACGTGCCAGTGATGCGGATGAAGCTGCGCACGTGCTTACCGGCGATCAGTCCACCGAGGTACCGAATGTTTGTTTCGAACAGGGAGATTGACGAGTTCGCTTCCTTGGTGGTGGAAAAGTCAATGGTGGCCGTGTAGTTGAGAATCTGGTCGACAATGGCTTTCTCTTCCATCACCACCGCGGTGCTCAGAGCGTCAATGGCGGTGACACCCAATCCGTTCCTGTAGTTGTTGTCAGCCACATGACGGCGTGGAACAGAAATTTTGAAAATAAAAAATAAAAATAAAGGGCCTTGGTCGTTTTCTAGAGGTGATTCTCACCTGTCGTCCGAATTACCGCCGGTGAGCGGCAACAGAGTATCGTGAGGGAAGGCGTGTTCATAGTACCCATTCCATGCCGTGCGGAAGGCTTGTTTTACCTGTGACGCCTTGGAAGCATCGGCTTCGAGCCTTCGTCGCTTGAGAAACGATGCCGAGGGCTTCGCGCACCCTGGACTGATGGCAAGTGCGACAACGGCACAGACAGTCCCGAAGAGCATTTTGAGCCAAATAACGTCGTCGGCAATACCAAGTCAGGTTCCCAACTCTCACAGCGAGGTGACAATGACGCGCCGGGTGACAGCACTGTCGCTGAACAATCAATGCTTGCTCACTCAGATGAAACCGTCAGTGGCAGATCCCAAGGGCGCTTTTAAGAGAAGCCCAAGGGCCAGAGTTCCGCGGCGCGTGGTGGCATTACAGCTACTAATCTCCCCAGAGGGGGGGATTCAAGACATTGTGTTCATTACTCGTGTCCAGGCCACGAGATCTCCCGATGTCACAGAAGACCTGGGTGTGCTGAAGAAGCATTGCATGAATCGCATTGTTCGCATAGCAAGTCGGTCTCGCCGCCACCTGCACTGGGTTTCCAGATCAGCCCGTCGTCTTCATCGCCGGACAACCAGCATCACAGGTTCGACCAGGGGTGCAGGCATACGACCTACTGTTTTTGCTGAAAAGGGAAATGGGAGGGAGCAGCGATCAGCAGGGGGGGTCAGATAGCCGCTCACTCCCCCTTCCCGATCATGGGGCGGAGGAAGTAAGGACTCAGGACAGGCACATGACACATGATGAGACCGGCGGGTTGGCAAAGGGGAAAGGGGAAAAGGGGAATCCCGCCGCGCCTGGGTGTTGTGGTCATCATTTCTAGCTTCGCGCCACCGACTCGCGCTGCTGCATATGATGGACTCTGGAGCCGGGGCAACTGCGCATGGGCATCTCAAGTTAATGAACTCACTTTGGAACCCATGGAATGCGCAACGCGTGAAACAAATCAGCCAACTCGTGCCTCGCCCCACCAATCACCATCGGGCTCGGCCTAGGCCGAGCATCGGAAAGTCGTTGACCCTCTCCGGTGAGGTTTCGTCCAAGTCATGAATCACCTCGGTCGAGAACCGAAGTAATTTGCGTCGGCTGTTACGGACATACAAGACGGGAAACAGCTAGCAGTCCGCTCTCCCTCCACACGAGTCGTACCATGGAAGACGGTGCCAGAAGTGGTAGCAGCCGCCGTCACGGAGACATGACGACCTCGCATGTCGCTGGTGCGAGTATCTTCTCCCCGTTCGACTAAATTGCTTTGCTCATCAGAGTTTGCTTCACCAGGCCGAACCACCCCCCCATCGTTGACGGTGCTCCTCGCGAGGGCGAGCAGCGTTGCACTGCACACTCTAGTCTCAGCTAGCTATACGGTCGATTCGGATTGTCTGCCGACACCGTTATCCATTGCGCTGCGAGCGTCTAGCAGACTGTTACTACGTGACAGACGGCCAGAGGGGGAGAGTTTTGCGACATTTTGGCCAGGCATCGACTATGAATGCCTCGCAGCTTGTCGTAGAATTCGGCCGTCTTCGCCTTGTCTCACTCCAGTATCCATTTACAGAACGGCTGCCATCGACCATACGTTTAATGTACCAGACCACCATCTTGCCAAGATAGTCAGAGGTGACCGATTCATGTCTTTGATCAAGTCACCGAGAGACGGGCCGTTTGCGCCAGCAGGGTGCGGAACAAGTTCATCGGTTTCCGTGCGCGGCCTACAACGTTTCATTATGAACGCTCACAATGCGCATGTCAAAGTACAGCGCGCAGACTCCTAGCTGGTTGTACAGATGCAGAGATTGCGTTTTGGCGTAGCGGGAATGCCGCCTCCCTATCAACCTTGCATGGCTGTTTCATCCACGGCCGCATCGTGTAGACCCGGCATAGTGAAACGGCGCAGTTGGCCGTCGTTCATGACATCACACAAGCTCTTCATCTACGCGTAACTGTTGAACTTGGGGGGGAGACTTGTGTATCCGTATCTATTCCTCGCTCTCAGCAATGACGAGCGTTGCAGGCACCTTGTCTCCTGGAACAGCGCATTTTCGAGCGCCCATGCCCATAACCTGGAGGTCAAACCAAACCCGGTCTTGGTAGTTGGCGTCGTCAATCTGGTGAATCTTGTGATCCGCAACCCGGGCGCCTTTTCGTATGAGAACAGTTTCCTTGAGAAGTTGGGCCCCGCCGTCGACATATGACATCTCGGTGCCGGGCCTTGGTTTGTGGTCGTTGCAGACAGGGTTATCGACGCCGGGCCATGTTCAGATGTTTCATCCGGGCAATTGCGCCTGGACAACCGGGCGTGCGGCCTCGATATCGGCAGAGGATGTATTGCCGGATGGGACGAAGGTAGAAAGCGAGGCAGGCTTGTCTGTGCCGCGTGTGTTTTGATCAAAACCAGCCATTTCAGTCGCAAGTATAGCCAATGGTTGACACAGTGGCGGCCTGTGGTCCGAGCCGCATGTTCTTCCCGGGTGCTCCATTTGATCGCAAGCATGTGAGTGGACAGAGCACAAGGGTTGAGAAGGTCGGAAGTTGAGAGAACATGGCAACAGGTCTGGAGTAGTAACTCCATTCGACTCCAGTAACACCCCCATCTCTCCGTGATATTCATCCTCATTGAAGTCCTTGGCAAAAAACCTATGCTGTTCCCATCAATCTCTACAGAGCACAAGTTGTGGCCCGTCTACTGCAAGGAGCCAAAGAGCAATTTTCATTAACCGGCTGATCCAAGACTAGATCTACCGTGTAGATCACCCCATTCGCACTTGTATTCATCGGCAGATGTCAAAATGATATGATGATGTACCTGTTGGAATAAGCGAGTGATTACGTGGATAACAATGTGGAGAACTATCTTTATACTGCGAATATCCCCCAACCCAAGCGTTGTTGGTCAAGCAACATAATTGGTATCCCGAGTCTTGCATCGTGACTGCACTGGGCTAAGATGAGATGTCGATGCAGGACAACACCAACTGTTCCTATTCGCGATTCCGGGGCCCCCAAGACAAGCATATATTTGCAACAAAAGTACAGCTTCACTGCAAATATGCCTCCAATTATAGAGGTTATAGTACAAGACCCTGATGCTAACGACCCAAGCGTTGACCCAGGGATAGGCAAAGCGGGAAGGAGTGCTTATAAAATCAACCCAAGTGGTCGTGGCGCTAGCTAACGTAATGCATTTCTTGAATCTACTGCCTTAAACTGCCTTCTAAGTAGCAGAAAAGTATATATAGATCTTTTTCTGTCGTTCCGTGTATTCTCACATAAGATGCTCTATACAGCATAGTAGCATAATAGCTATCATATAGTGCTGCTACTCCTTCCTGCTAATACTGAGGTTCTAGATTTAAGTCCTAGCTATGCCTCCTGGGGGCGTCTCCTCCTCATCAATGCAGCACTTGTTGCACATGCTGTGTCGGGTTGTGCCGTCAAATCATGGAAAAGGCGCACAGTATCGGCCTCTCCGTAGATTCGGACGACACTCGACACGCAACCCTACAGCTGCCATATGTATATGTATATTTGTATATGTAACTACATACTTAAGTATGTATATACTTCGTACAAGGGGAAGAGCTATCCGCCAAATTCGCTTTATTCCTTTTGCATCGGCCCTTCCCCTCATCTCATTCTTTTATCTGCTCGGAAATCTTCGCATTATAGACACGTGGGTTGGCTTCGTTTTTACTAGGTTATAAGCCCTTGCGCTTCACGCCTTGATCGACGAACGTCAGTCAATAAGTTCGCATTGCGGAGAGCCTTGAAGCAAAGAAATGCACCATCAGGCGCCAGAAAAGTTTACCAAGGCGTTGGGAAGCACTGTCGGCTGGTATATCTTGTGATGCCACTTTTGTACCTTTGTAGGCCTTGAAAAAAAACTGATGACTTTTAATATTAAAGCAAGTTATTCGGGTGGAGCCATATGAAGCCATTTCAAGCCATCGCGATACCCTATCAAGATCCACTCACGACGCCCACCGCGATTCAGAGAGCCACGAGACTGATTTCCTTGACAAAGAATAAAACACTACAGTGAGAATCTGTAAGCAGACCCTCTGATGTAGATGAATGCGCGGGTCTTGGAGAGGCGCCGGCAGATTTTGCTACACAATTTCTGGTTTGCGAGAAAAAAAAATTATAAAAAAAAACATACAACACCGGGTATTCGCTGGTCGTCACCGACCCAACTACTAATCCAGCGCTCGCTAGGTTATCGTACGAGATCGGACGGGACACCGCGTCCGAAATATGAACTCGCCCGACCTTTACCCGAAACGCCCGCCCGGACCCGCTTTTCCCGTCCCCTCCGTTTCTCCATCCTGCCACCGTTTTGGCTCTCTGTCCCGGCTTTCCACTCCGATACCGAAGCGCCGGGCGATGGACGAGACCGCACGCCGCGTAGTAATACACACCCTCATGTTGCCTGTTTTCGACCCTGGCCTTCGCATGAAATCCTCGCCAGGCTCGGGGGAGGCGCCGGACGCTGCCACCCCCTTTCCTCCCCCTGGTTTTATCGACAAGTCTTTTTCTACATTGGTCCGGTCGCAGGTCCATGTCAGTCCGCCCTGGCGTCAATGTGCCGTGTTGGTCAGCCCGTGAAATCCCACTTGAGAATGCCTACGTGTACTGCAGGGGCCCCGTTGGCCTGATTGAATTCAAGTGATGTGCTGACTGGATAAAATGCCCCTTCTCCCCCTTTCATTTGTCCTCGATGGTTTTGGCGTCCATGACATTCAGTCCTCTGCCCCCTGCCCCCTTTTCTCATTCACGTGTACTGCCACTGAAGCTGCCTTCGCTCACTTTATCATCATGCCCCGAGATACGAAATCTTCGCTTCGCTTTGCCCGCCCAAGTGTGCGTCAATTTAACAAAGATGCCGCTAAGGCGGCGGTGCAAAAATATCAGGAGAAGCCGCTGAGTGAGGTTTGCCGCCTTGACCCAAAAACGAGGCAGCGTCGCGAGAGGATCTGGCAGAACTGGGAAGAGTGAGGCATCCCCCTCTTATCTTTATTCCTAGGCAATGAGCTATTACTGATTTTATTCCATGTAGATTTGCCGCTTGCGCTGAAGTCGACCCGGTAGATATATGGTTTGACCTTTGCTTAGGCAAACCAGAAGTTCAAGCCATCTTCCAAGGATTTCTCAGACAATACTGGGAGCAGTCTGTGACGTTGCGTCCCTGCCTTGGCCCTGAGGAATATGAGGAAGTACACACGATTAATTGCGCGTCAACAATAGAAGATGTATGGTGTTTGCTGGTCAATCATGCAGACGATCGGATTATGAAACCAAAAAGGCTTCAAGATCGCGAGAATGCCGGAATCTGGTCATTGAAGTATTCTTCTAGGAGGACTTCATCGACTTGCGGTCCTACTTATGAGATAGCTCGTGTGAGTCCTTGGCCCCTCTCCTTATCAACAGACTTCTCTAATCCCTAATTAACTATAGTGGATTCCTGAGTTCGGCACAGAAGTCGGATTAAACTTGGGGCAGACTTTTCAAAAAGATGGCGCGACTACAGACGATATTTTAACTATTCTTTCCACTTTGTGGAATAGAGCAAATGATGTTAGGTGTTCACCTGACGATAGACTCTCTTTCACTATGTATGTTGTTGAAATGGGTCTAGGAGGTTGGCGGCCAGGAGCGTTAGAACTGAAGAAGTATAACCATGTAAAGCTTGCGTGGGTTAGAGATCCTGTTAACCCATCTGTTACGCGGACTATATGCTGGTCTACCGTTGATCATAACAAGCTTCGACGGCTTAGAATCGAGCGAGAACAACGTTCAAGGTAAATGATCCCAATAATTTATTCCATCACTCATAATTGATAAATAAGCTAATAAGCGGCTCATATAGCTTGAGCTACGCACTCTCCGTGGTTCCAACGTTAGTTCTATGCTTAACTACCATGTTCACAATTAGAGCAATCAGAGATAATGCCTTTGAGGCTGGGTTTACGTCCTGTTATGAGGTGCTTCACCCTGAAACACTCGAGGAGGGCGTTAACTTTGTAGAGTTGCGCTGGAAAGAGGAGTTTATGAGTGATGATAAGTATATTATGCCAATGAATTACCATAGATTTATTAATCTTTGGAACGAGGTGCGAATGGTATTGGGATCTCGATCTAGCCTCCGTCCCTACTCAGTTCGTGTTGGCGCGGTGGGTAGATTGGATGGTAAGCTGCCTCTGAATTGGAATACCTTCTTGCCTCTAACCGTTTATCCCTAGGATGTCTTCAACCGGCACTTCGAAACTTTAGTATCTCATTCCACCGAGGTATTTGAGCGAAGCTATCAGCCAGTTAGACTGCGTGCGAACCTAGCGAATATCGCATTCGGCGATAAAGCAAGGCATGACACAGCGCTTTGGGAAGCTATCTCTAATAGCCTGCATAATCGAGACCCAAACGCGCCTACACGTCTAACTAAAAAGGAAATTGATCAATTTGAATCAAGAAAAGATATAACAGAGCTTCGCAAGGAGCTGAAATACATCACAGCCAAAGAAGGGTCATCTAGTCAAGAAGCAAAGAAAGTCTCATCGCGAATCAGATATACTCTTGACTGCCTAGAGAGACTAGAAATTCAGGAAAAACGCCGCAAGTACTTTGAGGAAGCAGATAAGCTACGTGCAATGAACAAATCAACGGCACATCTTAAACAAGAGGTGCAAAATTCAAAAAGAAAGAGGTTCGGAAATAGCAGTGCCTATGCCGCTAAGCTGGCTAGTCTTTTATTCCAAACGAATATCACTTCCGCTCTAGCCGATCGTCTTGTCGCTTTTATAAGCGGAGCAAGCGTACTGAACGAGATTGGAGATGTTCATCATTTCAGGAAGGAATCGAAGGAACCCGCGCGATGTCTCTTTGGCTGTGGAACCTTCTTTAACACGTCAGCGCTCACAAGACATGTTCGCCATCTACACATGCATATCTTCAAGGCCCGGTTCTTGTGCCCCGAGTGCAAGCGGATGAACCTTGGAGATGTGGTGATTGAGGCGAATCCCTGTGCCTGGAGTAGCTATGTTCGAAGAGTCCATGGCGCGGTTCACACCCCAAACCTAGAGTCTCTACCGGATGTTCTCTGCCTCTTATGCGACCAACAATACAAACAGAGAGGGTTCTCGCGCCACCTGAACACTCATAGTGAGCTATTTGACGAGCCAATCTCATGTCCAGCATGCCTACAAGAGGGCAGGAAGGTCGAAGTCGAGGGCATGGGAGGCTGGATCACCCACGTAGCAGACGTTCACGGAGGCGACAGGATTCTCGGAGCCATAGAGGTCTACAAGACCTCATTTTCAGATGCTGAAATCACTCCAATAGACATAAACCCTGCCGAGGCGCAACACAGAAAAGAGCTTGCGAGAAGACGACAAGTGGATCGCAAGAGAAAGGCAGGTAACGCTGTACCATCGGCTCCCCTCCCATATAAACGGGCGAAAACGGACTTATCACTACCTTACGCACATGCTAGTGGTGACTCGGATTGGGAAATCTCATCACCGGACCCTCACGCGGATGAAGAGTTCTGGGTTGATGGAAGGGAGTAGTCAGCCTGGCCGTTTTGAAAGAGACTAGACCCGTGACTAGAGATGGGTGATGAGTATAAAAGGGACGGTGCCCGCCCTTGAAGTTTAGCAAGAACTCAAACCTTTGTTCAATCTTACCTATAACTTATCATTCCCGGCTTACCTTTGCTTAACCAACCTCCCTTCTACGCTTGTCGACAGAGTGCTCTTACCCTTCCGTCCATAAAGGGAGCTTGAACGTCCCTACCGGACTCCCCCCATTGTTCTTCTCCGCGTTCATCGTCTTCAGGCGAACGCCAACTTCACGATGGTGAGAATGGATCGAATTACTTTGGAGAAGAATTATTCCTGGCCGTCCCCCGCTCGCCACAGTTCATTACTACGATCCTTTGTCTCTGCGAAGGAGTCTTTCGTACCCCCAGCCGGGTCATCACCTATCAATGCAAGGCACTACGATTCTGTCCCCGGCTTTGACGCCCAAAACTCTCGAGAACATCTTCAGTCCGTCCTTGAAAGTGGTCTCGGAGGCACCGACTTGGATTCACGAGATATGACATCGAGAACTATTAGCCCAGAGACCGACTTGGAAGGTGCTACAATACGTGTGGCGGACGGTGAAGAGACCACTGGGAGGATCCAAAGGGGTAATCAGAAGAGAAAGAATACAAGAAGAACTACTGGCTCTGGTGAACATCGTATTGGGAAGAAGCGCGCCTCGGTTAGCAGAAGGCAGGTTTTTGAGTACTCACGCTTAGGAGCGATCCGGTCAGGTGTTGACGGACGCATTCGGTTCAAGATCTATTGGAAGCCAACTTGGGGCCCTCTTGAGGACCTCCGGGGAACTCGGGCACTGAAAGAAGCTGAGGAGCTCATTGTCAATGCGTACGACGAAGTTACGTGGGATGAGGAGATGCGTAGGTCTGGTCGTCTTGCTTCAGCTACAAGATCGAATAGATGACATTAATGAATAGCCTGTTAGGCGCTATCTTATGTTTTTGACTTTACCTTCGCAGACAGTTTCTTCTGCAGTTAATGTCGACCTACTTCATAAGCCGCTTTTCACAACCAGACTGACCAACAAGCCAACAATCGACTCACGAGCATTTGGGTGACTTCCTAACCAGTTTGGGCGCTTCCAAGAACCACGTGGAGCGAGTACATGGCGTAAAGCTGCGAAAGTAGCCAGCGTCACGTGAGTCATCTCCGAATATCACTATCAATTACCTATATGTTTAAAATTTTCTCTATCAAATGATCCCCTTTATTCACTTTTGTTTTCGTTTGCTTTCTTAATCTCGATCTTGTTTGTCTTGATACAGGTAAAATGGGTTGATCTAAAAATATGTGTGCCTGTATGTTTACAGGGATGTGCAAATTAATGAACTACATTGTCTGGAGTTACCTTGGGGCGTGTAGAAGATGGTACAATGCTTTGGAGGCCGTTGTTAGTTTTGAGTGTGAGCTATCGTGACGATGTCGTTCAGCAGTTGGATAGATGTCTCGAACCATCTCATCCAGTAGTCATGACAATTTCTGGGCATCGGCAATGCCTAGCTTAGCAGGCCATAGCTGTGACTTGGTTTATTGCGCAAGAGAATTTGTAAACGCTTTCTAAAAAAGCTTGTTGTGGCGTAGGCGCATTTCTTCCGGTCATGCTAACCACAGGGGCGAGTTCGCTACTTCTGTTTTTATCATGAGTAGGTAGCATAGCTCATAACACGCCAAAGATAAAGTGTGAAAAGTCTGAACGTTTAGACCATGCTTTGTATGTAGTCTCGTCTAAAAACTACATTTCCCATATGCTTCTGTAAACCAGTCAACGGATAACAGTCTTCTTGGGTCATCATGAGCAAGTATCTCACTCTCCAGAGCCACAATGCGTCCGTCATTAAGGTATGCGTACGTAAGTTGGTGTTCTGATGCTGTCACGTTATGAGACTCATTGTTAACTAAGCTTATTTCTTGAATATAAAAATTATTGTTGTTGTTTTTCTATCCTTCAGAAGGGTTCATGTCTTTTATCTCTAGTTTAGAAGACTTCCCAGCCACCCTGATGAAATCAGGTGGCTGGCCAGCCTCTCAACTACTGATATCGATGATTTTATGACATCTAGCAATTACGTCAAGTCTGCTTGTTCAAGCAACAGAGGCAGCCTTATCCGACAATTATATCGCTGGCATGTGAAACGTTTCTAATCACAGCATTATACAGTACATGGCTTTTTCAGTTTACCAATAACATCCTTTCCACGGTTCGCCTTCAAAGGCATCTTGGTGCTCGTATAATCATCGCTACTCAAGAACCAACAGCGTCATTGGCCTAAGCCAATATTACTTGTAGCTGATATACAAATATAGTTAAATGGTAACTATGTTCTTATGTTCAATATACGTGAAACTGTATATTGCGGCCACTAGAGCACCCAAATACCGGCTGTAGCTGTGATTATACAACCTGCCACACATCACTCTCAAAACCCGAAGACACATGACAATTGTACGGCGCCCTTTTGTTGAAGCTACAGCGGCGTAGCCTCTCACAGCTATGAAGTTAAAAGACCGTGCTGGACGACAACAGAAACGTAACGAAAGAGAGACTCAAGTCATGAACTGAAGGGCTAAAGGTTGCTGAGGAAAGCAGTAATTCCGTGGAAAATGTCTGACACGACGTCCTCCACGCCATTTATTGGTGTTATTGGATGACACCCTTCAGTAACCCATCCCATCTGATCGTTCGTTGTGTACTGGCAGTCCAGCAAGCCATCATTGTCTGTATCTATCAGGTGAGTCGTATTGTTTCCGTCTACACTCTTGATATCGAGCGCGTTCAAGTTCCTCACAGATCCACCGATAAAGGGTATAGGGTGATCTGCTGCGAACATACTGAGGGCAGCGATGCACGCCCCGGCGCCCACGCCCAAAACCGCGCCACCAACGACTTTTGCTCCCACAGCAGCATTGAGGAATGGTTCCATACGAGTAAGGGTGCCGATCATCTTCGACTGTTGCTTCTTCTGAGCCTTCGGGTCTCTTGCCACAGGTTCGCGGAACAGCTTAATGACTTGTTCAAGCGTCTGCTTGACTTTTGGCGCGTTGTGACCGACATTGCAACCTTTCAGTGCGACGTACAGACCAGCGATGTTCTCCTTGTGCACGGCTTCTGCGTTTCCATCACCATCTTTTATGGCCTTATCTAAGCTGAGTATTTCTCGAGCGATGGCTTTTCCAAGTCGCACCGTCGCGACATGTTCTGTATGGTCAGCCATATTGGCAACTCTTTTGAAAGTGGGGTGGAAATGACGATCAGGCTTCGGGCAGCGTCTGGAAATGTGTTGGGGATGACCTATTGCATGTGAGAAAGATTTCTTGGACTTCGGGTGGTGGAATTGAGGGGATTTCTTGGAGGGATGTTTTCAGACTCTCATTCGAGCCTTATATGCCTAGATCAGCTGGCTTCACACATCAAGCCGTCGTGTGCGGTCGTCCGATCTTCTTGGCCGAGTGGCGGGGCCGAGAACAACGCCGCCTGCACTCACCCTCCCACAGGAGGCGAAAACGAGGTACACGCCCACCCCCTTCAATTCACCTTGTCGCACGCTGAGAACAGTGACATCATGAGCTGTTTGTGACAACACTACCGATTGGCTCCGATAGGGGCACGCAGCACTTCGACGACAGGTCAGTCAGACGCCCACTCCATGTTTCAGAGCAATAGCTGCGAGAGCCCTCCAAGGCCTCCAATATTGGAGGCAGGATTAGAAGCAGCGGCATTCTTCTATCTATCAAGTATAGATTTTCGTCTAGAAATTTCCTCCTAATGCTAGTCTAGGATTCAATATGATATTTCTGCTTAAGCTGATTTCTAGCAGTATCGGTACCACAAGAGCACCGGAAATCAAGTCCAGAAAGGGTGTAGTGTCACCGGCACTTGGCCCTGCAAACGCCATTTCGCGATGCCATAATCGGCTATTATTATCTTAACTCTAATTCTCAGCCGCATGACTTTGCTTAGCAGCGCCTCCACAATACCTTGACGACCACATTCTTCCTTTAGCGCTTACGGGCGCTAGAGCAATGGAGGCGACCGGAGGCTCCTAGCCTATTGCGAATTAAAATCGCGGCTTTTTTTAGTTAACTTTTTATTAGTAGTGTGGCTGTACAATGCCGCCCTTGTTGCGAGATGGTACTGCCAGGAACAGCGTTCAACAATGGAAGGAACCGGTCAATCTGGGCCCAATTTGGGCCCACCACAAAAAGGTGCCACAAAACTGGCGTGTATTCCAAGTCTGAACTAAGCATGGCGCCCCAAATTTCTCTCATCAGACGCAACCTGATTATTTCATTACGCCCGGTGGAGCACTAGCTTGGAGTCTATTCCCCAAGTGTTCAGGATCCTATCTATGGCACGTCTGCTACGTCTGACACGAGGTGTTGATGGGTGTCAACGGCGGGTTAGTGGTGAGTTAGTAGTGAGTGAATGTAGTAGTTTGTGTATGTCGCTTGTTTCCAAGACGTCCAGTGGCCAATGCAAAGCGAATCGTTGCTTGCACTGCCTTTAGATTTGGATTCCAATCTGGTTCACCTAATGGTGATTTTCCTCCCAAAAAGCACGAAAGGTTTCATCTTTGAGTTTCGGTGCATTGGAGCATTTCCCTTCTGCATGTGTCCCACCTTGTCCACCAGAATAGGAAGTCGCTACTGTCTCTTGTTCACGTCCACAGGCACATTGGCTGGATGACGTTGCCTTTATTTCGTAGAGTGAATTATTTAGTCTTGTCATGTCTGTCCTTAACTGGGACAACACATTGCGTTCAATCCAGGGTCGATTATCGTGTAGCTCCTGAGTATGTTTACCTGGGAGGGCCGCGTCCACTCGTTTTGAGTGTTTGCCCACATCATCTGGTAAACTCCTTTCAGCGGTTAGTTTCCTCTTTTCAAGGTTCAATGTGGTAAGCTTCATTCTAGGGAACTGTTTTTGAGGGGTAGCGCCTTCCTTGGTCGCTTGCCTCGTCTCTCGCCTGGTTGGCCACAGGAGCTCGTTCTCATCAGTGTTGGGACTGCAAGACCCGGGCGTGTTCAAAGGGCAGATGCATCTTTGAGCATCTTTAACTTGCTCTAGGCGAACAGGTGGGGTTATTGTGAGGAGATGCATAGCTGTCCATCGCGAAGCAGGGCTGAGAGCGATAAGCGTTAGTTAAAAGTGCAGAAAGGCAACCGGGCTGCAGCGGTTGCCTTGTTCTTATGAGGGCGCCGCGTCGAGCACTCCAACTTTCAACCTACGACATACGAAGCCTAGTTCGTGTCTGAGCCGGCCCGAACACGTCTCTTAGGGTCCGTAGTGAACAAACTGCGCCCAATTCAGCGGCATGTCCATGTCTCCTGCTCTAACCTCCATCACTGTCTCCCTCAGGGCTGTCGCTATCTGGTCATCGTGCCACCTCAACTCCCCTTGCTCAAAGAGATGCGAGTAGAACCCACTCGCCACATCCACGCAGACCCTGTCATTCGATGGCCATAGACTACCGACAACGTGCGGGAAGCCGGCCACCAGGAAACCGCTCACAACGTGGATGACCTCATCGGACAACCGCTCTGCCTTGTTCTGCGCAGTCGAGCAGGCCGACAGGTAAGCCAGCCGCGCGTGATGAAGGGTAATTTCCGAGATTCTTCCAACCGTGAGCCTGTCCTGCACCGGCCCAGCTCCGCCATCACGGACGTCTCTTTGCCTCTGCAATATCAGTCCGCTTTGGGACGGATCTATATGGTCTGTCGATCCGTGGCACGCGAAGTGTGCTACAGAGCATCGTCGAAGCTCGTCTAGCACCTGACAGACGCTGGGTTGCTCCATGTTCTGTGCTTCGAGGTGTCCCCTGGTCACTCCCAGCACAATGTCCTTCTCCTCTGTTGCGCCAGGAAGCCTAGAAAATGCCCTTTGGCCCTCTTCAACGGGCGTTGTCGGCATGGAAACAACCAAAAGCGAACCATTTGCCGTCGCTGATTCTTTGGCTATTTTCCGAGCATGGGTCAACGCTTTGATCGACGGGGCGTACGACGATACAGTTTTATGATAAGCCGTCTCGGTCGAACCTGCACGGTGCTTCCCGGCCGCATGGAAAGGCATCGAGCTGGCAAGGCCGCTTCCAATCCACCACACTCTCAAGACGTCATTTTCTGACGGATCTTGGAGAGCGCGCACCTCATCCAGGATCTGCTCGACACAAGACTCCCAAAGCCAGGTAAGAAACGCCAAATAATCCCGATTTTTCTCTGCACGCAGGGGTCTTGGGCCAGGGAAGTCCTTGCTCAACCAAGCCATCGCGTCAGATGGCGACAACGCTGACAGGCTAATTGCCTTGACTACCACAGGGGTGATGATAATGGCATCGCTCCCAATTTCCGTGATGTTAACGACCACGATAGTGCCCCCAGCGGCGCACTTTTGCATATCGGCCGTACTAAGTAGAAATTTGTCACGGGGCCGGATTGTTCCGATATCTTTTAGGCAGGCATCTAAATCTAATACGGATTGACGACGGTCTCTTATCGCCTGCTCTTTGGCTGCCAGTTTCACGTTGCGACAAGAGGTGTTGATTTCGTCGCAGAGCTCTTCACACCTGGGGGCTATACTTGAATGTGCCCGGCCAGCCACTTGGTTCCAACCGTCTATGAGCTGACTCAGAATGACAGTACGACCTTCTTCTAGGTACTGCAGAGCATCGTCCAACTTGTTGGACATCAAGAGCAGGTCGCACAAATCTGCAGCTACGCCTGCAAATGCCGATATCATATATTGCTGGTCATTGCGGTCAAGGTCACGTGTGTTGACAACTGGTAGCAGGTGAATAGCGTCCTTTCCAAGCTGTATAGCAATATCGATCTTGCGTTGGATGGCGAGCAGCTTGATACACTGGGCTGCGGCCCTGATACGGTGAAATGGAATGGCCGTAGTAATGTTCCAGGCATTTTGGAGCTGCATACAAGCGTCTGCCAAGTCAGTAACCGCAGTAGTCTGTCTATACCGATTTTGCAGCCTGATTCCGAGGTTGTACAACCATACGGCACGAGTGTGTTGATCGTGAGGCATAGCAGCGATTGCTTGTCGGGCCATGACAATGGCTTCGTCTAGGTCGGCCATCCTTTCCGTCCGTTCATATAGACTCTCGAGCTTATTGCCAAGATTGTTCAAGATGGCCGCGCGTTCAAGATAGTTGTTCCGAGTGACTGCGATTGCTTGTCGAGTAAGGACAATAGCTTCTTCCAGATCGCTAATCGCTCCAGTCCGCTCATAACGACTCTCAAGTTTGTTTGCAAGATTACTGAACCGCGAGGCGCGGTAGTGATGGTCATCAGGCGTAGCGAGGATAGCTTGTCGTGTCACAGCAATAGATTCTTCCAAGTCGGCCATAGCCCTCTTCCGTTGATAGCGCCTTTCAAGTCTGTTTCCAAGATTGTTCAACCAGGCTCCGTGGTTAATGTCATCGTTAGACGTCATGGCGATCGCTTGTCGGGTCTTACGAATGGATTCCTCTAGGTTGATCATCGCCCCCGTCCGATGATACCGACACTCAAGCTTACTCCCGAGGCTATTTAGTCTCGCTGCCCGATCGGGGTGGTCGTCAGGCGTGACGGCGATTGCTTCCTGAGCCACAGCAATAGCTTCTTCCAGATCGCTCATCGCCCCCGTCCGATGATACCGACACTCAAGCTTACTCCCGAGGCTATTTAGTCTCCCTGCCCGATCGGGATGATTGTCAGGCGTGGCGGCGATTGCTTCCTGAGCCACAGCAATAGCTTCATCCAGGTCGTTCATCGCTCCAACCGACTCATATCGGCTCTCCAGTCTGTTTCCGAGGCTATTTAGTCTCCCTGCCCGATCAGGGTGGTCGTCAGGCGTGGCGGTGATTGCTTTTCGAGTCAGAGAAATGGCTTCTTCCAGGTCGCTCATCGCTCCCGCCCTATCATATCGGCTCTGCAGCTTGTTTCCGAGGTTATTTAAACATATCGCACGATCGGGATGGTCCTCAGGCGTGGCAGCGATTGCTTGTCGAGTTACATCAATAGCTTCTTCTAGATCGGCAATCGCGTTACTCCGCCAGTAGCGACTCTGAAGCTTACTGCCGAGGTTATTCAGTCTCCCTGCGCGATCAGGATGGTCGTCGGGCGTAGCGGCTACCGCTCGTCGAGTCGCACCAGTGGCTTCCTCCAGGTCAGTCATCGCTCCTGTCCGTTCATACCTACTAGCAAGCGTGATTCCAAGACTGTTTAAGATACGTGCGTAGTTAGGATGATCGTTGGGTGTGAAAGCGATGGCTTGTCGAGTCACATCAATGGCTTCTACCAGGTCGCTCATCTCTCCCGCCCGCTCATACCGGCTCTGCAGCCTGTTTCCAAGGTTATTTAAACGTATCGCGCGATCGGGATGGTCGTCGGGCGTAGCGACTACCGCTTGTTGAATCGCACCAATGGCTTCTTCCAGGTCAGTCATCGCTCCTGTCCGTTCATACCTCCTACCAAGCACTGCTCCGAGGTTGTTCAACCACGATGCGCGGTCGGAGTCGTGCGGAGTCGTAGAGACTGCTTGCCGAATCACACAAATGGCTTCGTCTATGTCTTCCATCACTCCAGTCCGTTCATACCGACGTTGGAGCCCGATCCCGAGGTTGTTTAGCCTGCCTGCCCGCATGTGATTATCGCTCGGCGTTGCGCCGACTGCCTGTCGAGCATTGTTAATGGCCTCTTCCAAATCGGCCAGGTTTCCTGTTCGTTCATATCTGCATGTTAGCATGGCTCCGAGGTCGCTCATCATGGCAGCCCAGTCCATTTCACCCCCTTCTGTCATGGTCACGGCCATGCGCACCATGCGAATGGCCAGATCGATGTGATTCCTGCTCCCCGTACGTTCATAAGCTGTGTGCTGTTGTATTGAAGCAGCGGACAGCAAGGCCAGCGTATCCTCCTCGCCGATGCTCAGTTGCTCCATTACTTTCCGAAAGTCCATGTTACAATGCTTGACGCACTTGACTTGACATTCGAGGTCGAACGGCTGGAAGAGCTAGTGATGTCTGTCTTCGCCTTGTTGTTTGAAGGGAACCCACTCTGTGCAACTGGGCATATTCGGCGGAACAATTAGTGCGTGACCCTCCGGCAGCTACACGGCCGATATGATGATCGCATGAGGTTTCCCAATGTTCGACGGCCTCTCCCGTCGCAAGTGTGATGGCGTAGCGCAGTACTCAAGAGTTGGTAACCAATATTCTGCTACTATGGCCACCACATGTATGCATAAGCAGCATCATAAGTTTAAGAAACCTATTGCGCTCATTGGTGTTCGGGGTAGAGTAGTGGCATACCGACCTTTCAGCTACTTCCCCTGTCTCGGTGTGGCAAATCCATCACATGCTGGCTGCCAAGCTACGGCTGATACGCCGCAGCCCGTTCTGACGGCTTTTGGCCCCGCTTTGACCCAATCTTGTTTCGTAGTGAATCTCGGCACTGCTCTTCCGAGATGGTGTTCGTCTTAAAACTTTTAGTTCAGCCGCAAACCCGGCAATTATCTAGCCTACTTTCGTTATGGTGTGTGGGTATTAGCCCCAGACGAGCCGCCGAGTAGTTCCGAAACTGCTTCGTCTACTGGACTTATGCAGCTAATACTGTTGCCCAAGACTGAGTAGGTTAGATGTCTCACGATTAGGTAGCGACGCGGTTCGTCCATCTGGGGTGCGGTCGGATAATTCGTTGCTGCTTGCAACTCGCATGTGCATCAAATTTCTCACTTTCTGTTTGTGTGCGGGGGAGACAACGACGCAAGAGGTCACAGATAACTGTGACTCGGAAGAGGCCAGCTTGTAATTTCCATACACCAAACTGTTTCACCCACAATCCACGGCCGAGCAGTCTCTGCAGTTGTCTCCAGCGCCAAAAGCATTCGTTCCTCACATGTTTCTCCGCTATCTCGCCATAGTAAGCCAAAGCCAGAGCGGGTACTACAAATGAACGGGGCCCTAGGCCCTGGGTACATAACTGCTGCGCTACGTGCTGCGCAGCAGTTCGCCCAGTATTATCAGGCTGGCTATTGGTGTCTTTGATCTGGTGATTCAGCGCCAACAGGTCCCTACGGGGGAAGTTAATATCTAACAATGAAAAGCAGAGGCCAAGTCTATCAGCCGTCAAAGCCACAATTATGTTTACAATAACAACGGGTAGAATAGATATAGACCGTAATGATACAAAGAACGCGCCTAGCACGTCGCCCTCTAGTCCGTAACCTGTTTTCCAACTTGTTCTTCCTTCTGGATCAACAGAATCTCCCCCTCCGGAGCTTCCATCTTGTCCCACTCTCCGCGAAGTTCCTCCTCTGCCACTGGTATCGCCTCTACTTTGATAATGTCATCTTCGCCATCTTCCTCGTCCCTGCCCCTCTCCACAGATGACCACCAGTGCGACTTAGAGAGACGTGATGTATCGATATTATTACTGGAAAACCATCGATGCCGGACCTTGCGGTACTGAAGCGCACAGATATGTTCTCCCGTCGCCATGAAAGAGGCCTGTGAATTGTTAATGCTCTGTTTGTTGCCTCCGACGGAAGGGTCAATGATGTCCCCAAGAGGCGCGATAGCGCCTACGGCAGCAAGTGTGAAGCCAACCGGGACCTTGACTTGGCCGCCAGCATTCTTGTCCTGAACGACTTCGTGCGCAATACGGGCGTTCGTGACTGTGTGGAATCCTACGACCATGTAGATATTGTAGCCTCTGTCCACCGCTCTCTCAATCCAGGTTTTAGTACCTGACTTGGCCACTGCTTCGGTGAACCATTCGTCGGAGTTGTCGAGTGAATAGGTTCTAACGCAGTCTGCCATGACTTTCACCCGGGTCTTAACACGCCGAGAAAATGCTGCAGACATGAGAGAAGTGAGCGCGAATCCGAAGCTCGTGTTGTTGCTGTCGTGGTTCAGTCCGACGTAAGACTGGCGTGATGAAATAGTGGGCTCTGGTGTTCTAGCATAAATAGGGTCGTGATAGCCTTGCACGGGAGATTCAATACTCGTGATGAAGCGAGCCAGCTTCACACTGCTGAGCGGCAGAAAGAATTGCGAGGCAATAATGTTCAGTGGCATTTTCGATTAAGCTCCTGATAATGAATTAGTATGATGACAGTCAATTCTATGCGATGTACGAAGAGGATACATTTCTTACCGGTCACGACGTTAGAGCGTGGTTTTTATACGTGTTGTGAGCAGGACGTGACATCCGAACCCTACTGCCCGTAGATTCTAACTGTCACGACGACGAGTGTCCGTTGCACACAGTATTCGTCATGGTGGCATAATGTTGGCGCCGAGATTTGCTGCCCCGCCACACATTGCAAGCCTCAGCGCATTCACCACATGTAACTTTCACGTACTGCACCAGCGGCTACCAGCGGCCGAGTGGCTCCAGAGGATACGCAATCCAGGGCAAGCCGGCATTGCGGCCTGTCATCCATCCAGCACAAACTTGTCGTGTATTAGGAACTGGGATCGAACGCTGACGATTCTAGTTGTACCATGCATCTGTGTTGACTCAAGTGTTCACAGACTGTGCTTGTCCGCTTTGAGATGGGAAGTTGCTAATACTACTTTCAGGAAACAAGATACACCTGCGCGCTAAATTTTGGTGGAAGGACTGGCGGTCGTTAATAGTGTGGCACCATCTTTGAGATAATTGCCGAGGTTGCGGCTGAACTAAAGTACCTCTAAAAAGCGGCCCGGCCGCATTGACAGTGGCGCGGTATACTGGATCATGCGGTAATAGGTATAACCATGTACAGCTACAGATATGCCTTCCGGCAAATATGCCGGAGGGTACCAACAACTATAAGGCTAGCGACAGTGTGCTCGATAATGATGGCTGAATGTGAGGCAAAGTTTACGGCTGAGAATACCTGACGGTATGCCGAAAAGAGTCCGTCGTGAAAACCTCATGAGGGTTCAAACGGGAACTAGGTTCCTCTTTGAGTGGACTTTGGTGGCTGAGTGGGGGTGGTCTATTTGGGACCGGAGAGGCGGGGAAGCCGTCCCAGCATGTCTTCAGGCGCAGCTCCAGTAGTTCTAATGGCCGTGCTGACCATGTACAAACGGAGCCAGAGGTATTGCGGCGGTCTCATTTCCCACCATGTGGTGTCATGGAAAGGCTATGGTTTCCTACCTCTACGAGATTGTGCACGGCAAACCCGCCACACGACGTAAATGGCGACTTCAGCTGCGGCTGCTGCTCGCATAGCGATAACCTCGCTTTTTTTTTGTTACCAGACGGGGTCTTTGAAGGCCTGGACTTGTCGGATGAAGTGAAGAAACGATGGAAGCACATTTACAGAACTCGCTTTGAACACCATGGGAAGTTCTTTGGAGTTGTGGGGGAGATGTATCATCGCAGCTACTAGTGGTCAAGCCATAGCCGTCAGCAGCTGGGTGGCACGTTATTGTAGTGACCGGGATAGTTATACAATATTGAAATTTGAACCATGGACCTTGAGGTGAGGACAGCCATAACGCACACTGTAAAAGAAAGGCACTTACCCTAAAATGCAACTAGGACACAGCCGCATGAGACCTGCCCACGCTATTAACGGTGCGGTCTGACCGAGCTCCTTCCCTTTGTATGACCAACACAGATGGGTCTTCCACAGTCCCCGTGATAAGGCTGCTTTTGTAGCGGCAGATGCCGCGCCTCATAGCCCGCTAACGGGTGAAGGGCTTAACTGTGAACGTCTCTAAGCTGATACCATGCTGGATGCTGTTTTGTCTGTGTTTGGGGAAGCAACCACGAGGGGGATTTCCCAGTGTGTGCTTACACCTGCACATAGATTGTAGCCAACCACTAGCCCAGCACGTCGTGTGCCCCAATGGGACCCGAGCGGCTTCACAGCCGGTGGACGAAAAATACACAAATCAAACAAACGTTATGGGACCTCACGTTTGATTGGCGGGTCGTGACCTGGCAAGCACCCACCTGTTACAGTCCAGGCACGATGACCGCATAGTGAGTAACAACCGCCCAAACAACTAGCGGCAGTTGCTTTCGGGTGGTTTTGTTCATATCAACTTCGTAGGTAGCTTGGCCTAGTTAACTGCACACGCTTGCGTCATGGCAGCACTCGCACCACCCGCCATTATGTAGTGGACCTGCGGCGGCAGACTTCCTACATACGTCACCATACCATATACGACTCCGGGAATTCACAAAGCCTGTTGCCACACATCCCACTCCAAGTCGGCTCGCAAACATGGATCTCTACCGCGTGATGCAACAGTTGACAATCGGTCAGGAACATATACTGGAGTAAAGGCCACGCTGATCTAGCCGGTGTTATTGCACCAACTGCCGTGAGCATGACACAAGAAAATCATCCAGACCAGGCTACATGGTGAAAGACGTCGCAAATATGCTCGAAGATCAACATGGACGGACGGCAAACCCGGTCGATCTGGAGGAAACCATTGGTATGGCGCGACAAACTGTTGACGGCACGCCAAAAGACCACCCAGACCGCGCAGGTAAGTTGAATAGGCTCGGAGCCTTGCTTGGCCGTCGGTATGAGCGGACGGGAGCGATGACCGACCTAAAGGAAGCCATTGATATGGCAAAACAAGCGGTCGCCGCGACGCCCAAAGACCACCCAGACCGCGCAGGCAGGTTGAACAACCTCGGAGTTATGCTCGAAAGTCGATACGAGCGAACAGGAAACCTTGTCGAACTGGAGGAAAGCGTTGCCTTGGCTGAACAAGCAGTCGCCGCAACGCCCAAAGACCACCCAGATCGCGCAATGAGGTTAAGCAACCTCGGAAACAACCTTGGTCGCCGGTATGAGCGGACTGGAGCGATGACCGACCTAGAGGAAGCTATTAACGCACTTCGACAAGCGGTCGCTACCACGCCCGATGGCCACTCTAACCGCGCAACGTTGTTAAGCAACCTCGGTGTCTGGCTGGGCAGTCGGTATAAGCTGACTGGAGCGATGACTGACCTGGAAGAAGCCATTGATATGGGTGAACAAGCGGTCGCCACAACACCTGAAGGCCACCCAGATCGCGCAATGTGGTTAAGCAACCTTGGAAGCAGGCTTGAGAGTCGGTACGAACGGACGGGAGCAATGGTCGACCTAGAGGAAGCCGTTAATATGGCTAAACAAGCGGTGGCGGCCACGCCCAAAGACCACCCAGACCGCGCAATGTGGTTAAACAACCTCGGAAACAAGCTTGGTCGTCAGTATGAACGCACGGGAGCGATGACCGACTTGGAGGAAGCCATTAGCATAACTCGACAAGCGGTCGCCACAACGCCCGAGAACCACCTCAACCGCGGAACGTGCCTGAACAACCTCGGGAACAAGCTTGAGAGTCGGTATGAGCGGACTGGAGCGATGACCGACCTAGAGGAAGCCATTAGCGTAACTCGACAAGCGGTCGCCGCCACGCCCGAAGACCACCCAGACCGCGCCACGTGCCTGGGCAACATCTGGAACAAGCTTAAGAGTAGGTATGAACGAACCGAAGCCATTACCTACCTAGAGGAAGCCATTAGCGTAACTCGACAAGCGGTCGCCGCAACGCCCGAAGGCCACACTAAGCGCGCAATGTGGTTAAGCAACCTCGGAAACAACCTTGGTCGCCGGTATGAGCGGACTGGAGCGATGACCGACCTAGAGGAAGCTATTAACGCACTTCGACAAGCGGTCGCTACCACGCCCGATGGCCACTCTAACCGCGCAACGTTGTTAAGCAACCTCGGTGTCTGGCTGGGCAGTCGGTATAAGCTGACTGGAGCGATGACTGACCTGGAAGAAGCCATTGATATGGGTGAACAAGCGGTCGCCACAACACCTGAAGGCCACCCAGATCGCGCAATGTGGTTAAGCAACCTTGGAAGCAGGCTTGAGAGTCGGTACGAACGGACGGGAGCAATGGTCGACCTAGAGGAAGCCGTTAATATGGCTAAACAAGCGGTGGCGGCCACGCCCAAAGACCACCCAGACCGCGCAATGTGGTTAAACAACCTCGGAAACAAGCTTGGTCGTCAGTATGAACGCACGGGAGCGATGACCGACTTGGAGGAAGCCATTAGCATAACTCGACAAGCGGTCGCCACAACGCCCGAGAACCACCTCAACCGCGGAACGTGCCTGAACAACCTCGGGAACAAGCTTGAGAGTCGGTATGAGCGGACTGGAGCGATGACCGACCTAGAGGAAGCCATTAGCGTAACTCGACAAGCGGTCGCCGCAACGCCCGAAGGCCACACTAAGCGCGCAATGTGGTTAAGCAACCTCGGAAACAAGCTTGAGAGTCGGTATGAGCGGACTGGAGCGATGACCGACCTAGAGGAAGCCATTAGCGTAACTCGACAAGCGGTCGCCGCCACGCCCGAAGACCACCCAGACCGCGCCACGTGCCTGGGCAACATCTGGAACAAGCTTAAGAGTAGGTATGAACGAACCGAAGCCATTACCTACCTAGAGGAAGCCATTAGCGTAACTCGACAAGCGGTCGCCGCCATGCCCGAAGACCACCCAGACCGCGCAGTCAGGTTGAACAACCTCGGAGTTATGCTCGAAAGTCAATACAAGCGAACGGGAAACGTTTTCGAACTGGAGGAAAGCGTTGCCTTGGCTGAACAAGCAGTCGCCGCAACTCCCGAAGGCCACCCTAAGCGCGCAATGTGGTTAAGCAACCTCGGAAGCAGGCTTGAGAGTCGGTATGAACGGACTGGAGCAATGACCGACTTGGAGAAAGCCATTGATATGGCCAAACAAGCGGTTGCCGCGACGTCCAAAGACCACCCAGACCGCGCGACATGCCTGAGCAACCTCGGGAACAAGCTGAAGAGTCGCTATGAACGAACGGGGGCCATAACCTACCTAGAGGAAGCCATTAGCGTAACTCGACAAGCGGTCGCCGCCACACCCGCCGACCACCCAGATCGCGCAACACGGTTCGACAGCCTCGCAACCGGTCTTGCCCGCCGCTGCAAACGTACTGGAGCCATGATGGACCTAAAGGAAGCCATTGATATGGCTAAACAAGCGGTCGCCGCGACGCCCAAAGACCACCCAGACCGCGCAGGCAGGTTGAACAACCTCGGAGTTATGCTCGAAAGTCGATACGAGCGAACAGGAAACCTTGTCGAACTGGAGGAAAGCGTTGCCTTGGCTGAACAAGCAGTCGCCGCAACGCCCAAAGACCACCCAGATCGCGCAATGAGGTTAAGCAACCTCGGAAACAACCTTGGTCGCCGGTATGAGCGGACTGGAGCGATAACCGACCTAGAGGAAGCTATTAGCGCACTTCGACAAGCGGTCGCTACCGCGCCCGACGGCTACTCTAACCGCGCAGCGTTGTTAAGCAGCCTCAGTATCTGGCTGGGCGGTCGGTATGAGCGGACTGGAGCGATGACTGACCTGGAAGAAGCCATTGATATGGGTGAACAAGCGGTCGCTGCCACATGCAAAGACCACCCAGATCGCGCAATGTGGTTAAGCAACCTCGGAAGCAGGCTTGAGAGTCGGTACGAACGGACGGGAGCTATGGCCAACTTGGAGGAAGCCGTTGATATGGCTAAACAAGCGGTGGCGGCCACTCCCAAAGACCACCCAGATCGCGCAATTAGGTTAAACAGCCTCGGAAACAAGCTTAGTCGTCGGTATGAGCGGAATGGGGCGATAGACGACCTAGAGGAAGCCATTAGCGTACTTCGACAAGCGGTCGCTACCACGCCCGACAACCAACCAGACCGCGCATTATGGTTAAGCAACCTCGGTTCCTCGCTGGGCAGTCGGTATGAACGAACTGGAGCGATGACGGACCTGGAGGAGGCGATTGACGTGACTCGAGAAGTGGTCGCTCGCACACCCGAGAAACACCCCAACCGCGGAACGTACCTGAACAACCTCGGGAACAGGCTTGAGAGTCGGTATGAGCGAACTGGAGCGATGACCGACTTGGAGGAAGCCATAGGCGTGGCCGAAAAAGCGGTCGCCGCAACACCCGAAAACCACCCTGAGCGCGCAATGTGGTTAAGCAACCTCGGAAACAAGCTTGAGAGTCGGTATGAACGGACGGGAGCATTAGACGACCTTGATGCCGCCTCTATTCATCTCCAGAATGCTTGGAATAATACCATGGCCATTCCATTTCACCGTGTTAAGGCCGCTGCTCAGTGTATCAAGCTGCTTGTCGTCCAACACAACATCGATGTTGCCGTACGGCTTGGGGAAGGTGTTATCCAACTGCTTCCAGCTGTTAACACAAGAGACCTCGACCGCAACGACCAGCAATACGTCGTATCGACCTTTGCAGGAGTAGCTGCGGATCTCTGTGCTTTGCTCTTGGCATCGAACAAGTTTGACGATGCTCTGCAATACCTAGAAGCAGGCCGGGCAGTAATTTTAAGTGAACTGATAGAACGTAGGAGCTATGTGTCCGACCTGGAACAGCCTGGCATCGCCCGCCGGTATGAAGAACTCCGTGACGAAGTCAACGCCCCTTTACGCGGCCTAGAAGGTGCCGCAAGAGAGCAAGCGCTAAAGCAGCGCCAACAATCTATTTTGGATTTAAATACCTGCATAAACGAGATCAGAACCATTCCAGGCCACGAACGATTCCTACTTAGTCAGACGACGGCCGATATGCAAAAGTGCGCCGCTGGGGGCACTATCGTGGTCGTTAACATCACGGAAATTGGGAGCGATGCCATTATCATCACCCCTGTGGTAGTCAAGGCAATTAGCCTGTCAGCGTTGTCGCCATCTGACGCGATGGCTTGGTTGAGCAAGGACTTCCCTGGCCCAAGACCCCTGCGTGCAGAGAAAAATCGGGATTATTTGGCGTTTCTTACCTGGCTTTGGGAGTCTTGTGTCGAGCAGATCCTGGATGAGGTGCGCGCTCTCCAAGATCCGTCAGAAAATGACGTCTTGAGAGTGTGGTGGATTGGAAGCGGCCTTGCCAGCTCGATGCCTTTCCATGCGGCCGGGAAGCACCGTGCAGGTTCGACCGAGACGGCTTATCATAAAACTGTATCGTCGTACGCCCCGTCGATCAAAGCGTTGACCCATGCTCGGAAAATAGCCAAAGAATCAGCGACGGCAAATGGTTCGCTTTTGGTTGTTTCCATGCCGACAACGCCCGTTGAAGAGGGCCAAAGGGCATTTTCTAGGCTTCCTGGCGCAACAGAGGAGAAGGACATTGTGCTGGGAGTGACCAGGGGACACCTCGAAGCACAGAACATGGAGCAACCCAGCGTCTGTCAGGTGCTAGACGAGCTTCGACGATGCTCTGTAGCACACTTCGCGTGCCACGGATCGACAGACCATATAGATCCGTCCCAAAGCGGACTGATATTGCAGAGGCAAAGAGACGTCCGTGATGGCGGAGCTGGGCCGGTGCAGGACAGGCTCACGGTTGGAAGAATCTCGGAAATTACCCTTCATCACGCGCGGCTGGCTTACCTGTCGGCCTGCTCGACTGCGCAGAACAAGGCAGAGCGGTTGTCCGATGAGGTCATCCACGTTGTGAGCGGTTTCCTGGTGGCCGGCTTCCCGCACGTTGTCGGTAGTCTATGGCCATCGAATGACAGGGTCTGCGTGGATGTGGCGAGTGGGTTCTACTCGCATCTCTTTGAGCAAGGGGAGTTGAGGTGGCACGATGACCAGATAGCGACAGCCCTGAGGGAGACAGTGATGGAGGTTAGAGCAGGAGACATGGACATGCCGCTGAATTGGGCGCAGTTTGTTCACTACGGACCCTAAGAGACGTGTTCGGGCCGGCTCAGACACGAACTAGGCTTCGTATGTCGTAGGTTGAAAGTTGGAGTGCTCGACGCGGCGCCCTCATAAGAACAAGGCAACCGCTGCAGCCCGGTTGCCTTTCTGCACTTTTAACTAACGCTTATCGCTCTCAGCCCTGCTTCACGATGGACAGCTATGCATCTCGGTATTGGGCAAACTGCGAGGAAGAGCAGCGACGGCCAGAAAAAGCGCAAAATGCTATTCAACGAACCTGACCGTATAAGCCTGAAAGCACCGGAACGCCTATCCATTTTCCTCGCTTCGATCAAGACATGCCATCCTGGTGAGGTCTACTTCCAAGTCGAAGGGTTAAGGGTTGCTAGTTTGCGGAGGCAATCTGGCCATAGGTCGTGACACCAACTTCGATGGAGCATCACCACAGGCTGTCAGGCAGCTCGCTTTTGTGCCTGACGGATGGACAATGACACTGCGATAGGGCCTGTCGCTGGTCGAATCTGGTCGTTTGTACTCCTTCCGCAGTCTTGGCAGCTTCTCGAGGATATCGCTGATAGCCTGTTCAATCTGATGAACGTGAATCTTATACTGTGCCTTTAGTCCGTTCACCGCAGTTCGTAGGACAACTGGAGGCTGATTTAGGAGACCCGTTGTTTGAAACCTTTCCCCTGGACCGTCTTGCCAAAGTCATACTGGAATATGCCGCCATTCCCATTCCGAGGAGCACTGGCCACGATGTCGCCTAGTCGGACATCTTGGTATGCACTCGGCGCACCACCCCCGATACCTACCATCAGGCCTGACATTAGGAAAGCTGTGCAGCATATCTCTTGCGATGACTGCCGCAGAGGATTACCGTACTCCCCATCTGGCAAGACAGCGATGACAACATTGTGTTTCCCCATCCTGCCCATAGTGTAATTGTTGTTGTCGGTGGATGAGAGTGATTCCGGTCCGTCATGCTTCTCATCTTGGACGGCCTGCGCGGCAACGTACTCCGTAGTTGTAGCACAGATCCAGCCGACAGTGTAGTCTCCAGGGTAAGGCATACCGACTCAACGTGGATAAGTGAGATTGTAAGTTCTTTAGTGTATGGAGAGGGCTTGCAGAAGAGAAGCATCCCGAAGAAATGACAGATTAAGCGTCGCCCACAAACCCAACAACCAGAGTGACAGGGAGAATACCTAATTGGGAGAACATCGGAGATCGGCTGACAGTCGTTGGGCTCCAAATGTCGGAGGAACCAGGGCTGTCACTTGCACAACGCAGAAGGGAGACCACCCACTGCCGGTCTATGCGGGTGACAGCCATTCCTTGTTCTTGACCAACGAGCTGGAGAAGTTGGAATATCGCGCTGTCTGTGTAACCGGAGTGTCGTCGCTCAGCGCGGAAGCATTGGTCAGAGTTAATGTTCACCTCCTGCATCTCGACCTCGCAGTCTCCTGGCCGTTACTCCCTTAGTTCGGACGGGAATCAGGGACCCCGCTGTTAAACCCTGAGAAACCAATCATTTCGCTCTTTTTATGACAGGACAGCATCTTACCAGACAGTATGACTGGAACAATTCGACCGCCGCCGATGTGAATGCAAAATTTCTCGAGCGACCGGGAATGAGTAATCACTAGTCAGTCACAACTCCGTCCTCCCAGATGTGTGAGGCTCTCTCACCCAATAAATAGCACTCTCGCCCGTCGGCATGCGACGGCATCACAATGGTTTACCAATCACGGTGGCTGTGGAATGTGAGCCAGGGGACATCCTGCTACCCCTCCCGTGGAGTCGCATCTGAGTCGAGCAAGTGGCTGCGCTGTGTCGTGACATTTATCGCGCACTGACCAGTTTTAACCACGTCAATTCAGGGCCAGCCTGTCTAGCAACCAACGCGTCGCGACACGACCGCCCGCTCATATCGCACTTGCCTGGCTTGTACCTCGCGGAGCAGGGTGACTTAGCTATCACAGGCTGTCAAGTTATGACCAGCATCGAGAAGGAGCTTGACTTGAGGCGACCAGCCTACATACACAGCTCCAAGTCATGGAGTTTCCCATGCGGTCGCGCATGCTCCCCTACCAGCTCGTGTTCGGTGGGGAGATCATCGTCGTAGAGCCGCATTGACCTAGCTATTGTCTCGACGCCTGCTAAATGTTCCTCAAGCTCTTGCCAGGTTTTCTGCCTGAGTCTTGCTCCCAGGCCCGTTATTTCGCATGCGAAGTCGTCTGCGGTTTTAAGATTGTCAACCTTGGATGCACGTACAAATGAATGGGGGGCTTTGGCGTCGTCCGCCGGGTATCCTCGCCTCCTGCGCCGCGTTCGTATCCTACGAGAGCGACTTCCGCGTCAACAAGAAGCACATACCACCGCCAAAAAATGCAATGGCCAGTGTGGCAGATCTTTGATAAGCAGCTTGAATACAGAGCTAAGCTACCCAGCCCACTGACGTGCAATTCCGCCACCGCGAGCTAGGTCTGAGCCGACTTGCCAAAATATGCCGTCCCCAAGCATTGGCTGTCACCGACAGAACAGTCCCCTTTCATATCTGAGGGATCTCGACCTTGCCCGCCCATCTTACTACCCTTCCTTCTTGCCATTTGGTGTCTTCAGAACACCCCTCCAATATGAGAAATGCCAGCCGAATACATTTAGACATGGCAAAGGTTTATCGCTGGTATGAGGATTATCGAAATACAACAGCTGAGCAATCTCAAGTCTAGTCAAACGGCTCCGCATCGTTGTACCAGCAGCCCCGGCTGCACCAGCAGCGAAGCGCTGCCGTTCTATCGATGATATTTACCCAAGCTACTCTGACTCAGAAGATGCTGATGGCTCTGAAACCTCTCATGACTCCACAAGAAATTTTGAGGGCCATTAGCCTGGAACCCAAAGAGAATAGTTTGCCTCCTGTGGTATAAGATTCAACGCCTGAGGCTGCCAACCTTTGCTATTCTCAGCCTGCAATCGACGTAGATGGGAGTGTCACATCAGCAGAAAGACGTCCTTCACGAAGGAGAAAGCGGACCGATAGGAAGGGGAGGAGAACATGCCCATTGTTGCTAGAGGTAGTAGCCTGCCCCATGTCGAGAAGAAACGCGCTTCAGCCGGTAAAACACCAAGACGCAAAGTTTTGCGCGGTCAGCTGCTTATTTCGAGAGCAAAGGGAAGTATAAGCGAACGTTTGAAGTACAAAGCCGTTTGGAGGCCGATCTGGGTGGCTGTACGGAGGGATGAAGAGACGAGCGATTTGGCTCTCTCAGTGGAGGGAACTAGGCAATCTAGTCAGAAAGTTATCAATTAGGCAGCTTGCTTCATCTTATTTATCTAGCATAACGTGTTCTTGACCGTGCTGTACATGCTATGAAAACCAGAATCGTCCACCAGCATCTGGTAGCCGGCTTGACCATGATATTCCTGTTCACTTAAGCTGGAGACAGCAGCAGAGCGACAGGCAGGTGTTGGCACTCATGGTCATGTCCTGTTCCTGCCACAAAAGACCGCGCTAGTCGCCAAGCAGCCATCGAACGACCAGGTAAACGGCGATGGCGCCATATCCTCATGAGGAAAGATATTCGAACAGGCCAGACCCTAGACTCCTTTTCACGCATGCCCTCCATGATCAGTCCTGTTCGGCGCTTCGGCATTCCGGCGACCCCACTCCGCATCCATCTCGGCCGGCCACCCACTTTTCTCGGCCACCCATCATCTGCAACGCCCGGAGATCCTTGAGCAAACTGAAGCCTATGCATGGGCGGCGCTTAGAGTCGTAGCTCTTCAATGTCCTAAAAACAGAGAGAGACGGTCTAAATACGACGAGGGGGTGAATAGGAACCAAGTCTCAGGGCTATGGTTGTTGCCCACCCTACAGGTGTCAACTTCCCCGTGGGACGGCGCTTACCGGCCGCCGGTCATTGGTACACTCACTGTCGGGGCCGCGTAATCAATCCCATTCAAGCGGCCAGTTTGAGGTAATGCTTAATACAAAAGGGAAGCATGGTCCCCAAGCAACTCTATGTACAAACTTCAGGAGCAATATCACCATTCTCATCTAACTAAGCCCATACTATCCTACCTATTCTTCCAGCATAACATGGCTCCTAACCTTCGCTCTCGCGATGTCTCAGGTATTGATCATGTTTGGGACGTTGGCACACAGATGGACCCCAAACGGCGCACTCGATCAAAGGTGAACAAAAATTTTCAGGTGGGCAAAAAAAATCGTCAAAATGGGTTATGCGTCAAGGCCAATACCCTTTTCCGGCGCTATAATGTTGACATAGCGCTTGTCATGAAGACATCAGATGGTTACATTGGAGGGTATGAGTCAAAACCTGGGCTGGCTCAAGATCTTCTTCGGAATGAGGAGGTTCCCTTACTCCTACCGCACATTATTGAAGAATGCAATTACCAAACCTTTCAGCGACGGCTACGCATGCCGACACATGGTCAACCATCCGTGTCGCCATCATCTTCTGTTGCAGAAAGCCACCAAACGTTCTCGCTACACCCTCCAACAAGCTCAGTCGCTGCATCTGATAGCGCAGAAAGTCGTCAAGGCAATACATGCCATGGCAGCCAATGTGACAAGAACACGCCCCTGGATTGCTTGGCAGAAGCTGCACTCCTCGCATCACCGCATGCTGTTTCTGCGCGGGAACAACGAAATTTGGTACTCAAAGGGGACACAAACCTAGATGTGGCAGCTCATCTACTTGGTAGCACCAGTGGCGATTCTAATGACAATAGTCTCGGGCCACTCTCCCCGGCGTCAGATGAAGTCTGCCAGCTGACGTCGGCTCCTGCTGGGAAGAGCTGCTTCATATGGTCTTGGCTTAGAAAGTTTAGTCGATAGTGCGAGAAACACAAATCTTGTTTAGTTTCTGAATAACCACTACATTTGCGTGAATAAATTGCAGTTCGTTTTCCCCTGCCGTAATAAATGCTACTACCTATGCGATGCGGACTCAGAAGAGATATTCATCATTAGTCTGCTTTTATTCTTTTCCGGCACCCGGCACAAATTGATGTCCATATTCCTTTAATTTGGGATTGTTTCCTTCTAAAAAAAAGGCCACTTCGTATATTATCACATTCGCACATACTGTGGCTGCTTTTGGGGCGACTGAGCCAACAGAAAATAGTATCTGAAGCTCGTGCTGGGCCTTGTATGCACTGTGGTATGGATCCTGGACCACGATTGCCTGTTAAGTTGTTTCACCCCCTAAAAACAACACCAGGCTTTAAAAATAGCTGATGTGATGCCGAAATGGGCCTTGGTTGGTGACTCGGCCTGTGTGGTAGGCCCCGCCCGTTACGACGCCGAGCACCGTACGCCCATTCTATGTTCCCTCCCGGCAGCCACCCCGCTTGACGGTCTCGGCCGGGGGCGTAATCTGCGGTGCTTCCTCTCCGGCTATTAATAGATCGCAAAAGAGTATAAATTCACGCAATTCCACATTACAAAACATCGACCAATGTACAAGGATTTACCAATCTATAAGTTTACGATGTCTTCTCATGTCAAATCTGACGCCTTCTGCCTTGTCCCTCTTCATGACAAAGTATCGGTTGTCGAAAGCGGCATAATGCTGCTTGAAGACACAGAGAAAGCGCTCCAAGCAAAACGGGTAGACATCAACTTCCTTATGAGCGAACTGTCCGATATTGAGGTCAAAACATCAAGACTAATCACCCACTTGAGACTTAACATTATATCACTTAAAAAAGAGGTACGTGCAATAAACGTTCAATCGATACGTGGCTGACCGTTCAAAAGCTGCCACCAGAAACTCCTACTACTCCGACCGCTCCTGTTGCGCCATGGCGTGCTAATGGTGGGACGGCCAAGGGTTGGTGATTAGGCTAGAACAGGTATTCACCAGGACGCTATGTTGCGGGCTCTAGGAAACCGAAAGTTACACTGGAAGCACGAATGCGAGGACAGGAGGTCAAGTAACTAATTAAACATCAATCTGTGTGCTATGAACGCACTTTACTTCCAAAAAAAAATTGCAACTTCCTAAGTGAGCGACATATATTACCAGCTTAGTTCAACTTCAGCAATTTTTGGGACCGTGCTTTTGCCTGCTTGTTCAGCTCCGCCTGACTGAACTCCCGCCGTATTTCATTAATTTGATCATCAGCAAGCTTGCCCCATTTGGCCTTAAAGGTTGACCGGGATTAGAGCGAGGGCCGTTTGTCCCCCTTGAAAACCCCCAAGCAGTAGCAAAAACGGCCCTCCGGATCCGTAGCCACACTCCACCAGACGAAGTCGGTCATTTGCTTGCCCTGGAGATTTTCTTTTTGTTTTGCTCTCACTATCTCCCCACCGTTGTCTTCATATTTCCGTGCCGCTGCTGGGCAATCTGATCTTGGAATCAGGTACCCAGGCCTCAGACAGTCGTAACCTTCAATTTTCCCCTCCGGGTCAATCACAAATACGTAAGATCGAAATTGAGTTATTAGCATAATCTCCATCTCATATTCTTTACGTCGATCGCTGAGCGGTTTGTTGATGTCGGCTGGGTGACAATCCACCTCAAATCTGTTCGTGTTGGGATCATCTGTGTCATCAAAGCGCCTGGACCATTCATAAAATATCTCAAAGCACTCCTTCTGGTCTTCAGATTGATCATATCGATCTGAAGGACCATCTTTACTATTTGTCTTGCTGTTCTTTAGATCTTCAATTTGTTTTTTTAAAAGAGCAACCTCCATGCTCTCATTATCAGATTCATGTTTCGGAGGGTTCTCAGGTGGATTAGGCGGCTGTGGTGGCGGATTCTCAGGTGGGTTAGGCGGCTGTGGTGGCGGATTCTCAGGTGGGTTAGGCGGCTGTGGTGGAGGATTCTCAGGTGGGTTGGGAGGAGGATTAGGGGCCTTCGCTGAGTCGTTCTCCGTTGGCTTGCCAGCGGGTTCACCGCTGGCCGTGGAACCTGTCTCCGCGAGACTTTCTTTTGTCCCGCCCTTCTCCCAAATATGTTTGTCCTCTGGTGCTATCCAGGACTTTTGTTCACAACACTCATCAACCCAGTCCTCATTAAGGATGAGTATTTGTCTGTTGCGAGCGTCTTCAACTTGCTTCACCGAGCTGGTATAGGCTACTTCCGTCGCAGCAAGGATTGTGGGCGCCTGGGTTTTGGAGGAGGGCTTTAGACCCCATGTTTTAAAATTATTTGCTAAAGTTTTTTGACTCTTTTGGAACGAGCCAGCAAGGGCCAGATATTGGCCTTCTGGGGAGTTGAGAGAAGACATGCTTGTTTATGGTTGAAGTAAATGAATGCTATGTATTTACGGATCGTGAGTGGAGAGGCGGAAGTGTCGACGAATATATACCATCGGCGTAACCGCGACACATTCTATTTTGGGTTCCGCTGGATTAAGATTAATCGCCTTGCAGTTCCGGGGTTTATGGGCTGTACTTTCGAGCACTAACTTTAACGTGGGGGGTTCGACCAGCAGAACTTCCTAGGGCTGTTTTCCCTGCCCCATTTGGGCTGACGGCACACCAAGGATCACTGTAAAATGGGACAATTTGAGAGTAACTAAAGACAGCGTACAATTATCAAACTAGCTCAGGAACCGTAGAATAGCTAAGATGACCAAAAAATTGAATTACAACTTTACAGAGTAGAAACTCCCCTCTGATACTGGCGAATACGTTGTTTGTCTATCATTGGCCATATTCTGAAGCTCTAAATGCTCGGCATTCCCTCGCAGCTTCTTTCTTTTCCGTAGGTTCCCATGGTGGGGTCCTTCCACTGAGCCCACTTGTACTAAAGAACGACTTTGATACTCCGATTCAAGAAACGTGACGGGCTTGTCCTTGAGGATCTTGATAGTCCCGCCTCGCATCAAGGCCGTAAAATATGCATCGCCGCAAGCTGTACACGTAAGCCTTATGAAAAAAACACGACTCAGGGCCTGCATACCAAAAACAGTCATTCTTCCAGCCATGCGCAATCTTTCTTCCTTTAATTTGATTGGGATGAGTTTCTCAAATGATGGTGTTGCACTTGAGTCTAAGCACATCCAAAAGCGAGATCCGAGCTCGAAGGGATCATGACCGGTCCGCAAATCAGGATAACGACACCAAACCACGAGTAGTTTCTATGCTGGTCAATAAGATGTTATCTTGGGGAATGAAAACTTACATTCTGGGGGTCCATCTCTTGAAGCCACTTGAGCTGTTTCTCAACCCATTCCATCTGAGAATTGCGTTCTAGAGACCAGAATAAGATGACTTTTTTGGTTGCGTCACGAAACAGACGCATTGCCTTTACGTATGCAATTTCTTTTAAAAGCGCTTCGTTATTACCTTCAGTTCTGAGTCTTTCTGTTAAATCTTGGATTCTTTCCCTGATGCGGTTGTCATGGTCTCGGCGTAGCGCGAGGTCTGTAACCATCGGAAGTACACCTGCAATACCCATACCCTTCGCAGCCAAAATTAATATATCATCCTTTGCCAAGTCTACCTCTTGGCCGTAAGGTCCATCTAGAAATAGAAGACTTCCTTCATGGAGCATTGAGATGGCCGTCTCGTGATTTCCATGACGGGAGAGGAGGAAGCTCACAGTAGACACTTGTCCGCTTTTGTCGGCCGGTGAATTGTACTGTGCAATGGCCGTAAAGCTATGAAGAAAATTGTATCTTATCCACACCAATGGTGGCCAAGTCATGGGGAAGAAAATGTAGAAATAACAGCCGGGTTTTAATAAGATCGGATGGTCCAGTCTAACGTTGACGAAGACAGCGCCCGCAGTGTTGGAAACGTATGTAACCTCGGCCGTATGTTTATAGTATAGCATCTTCAGAACTCGTACCGCGGTTGTAAGGAGCCATAGTCCACAAGAGGAACAGACCAGAATCCGAGCACGATTGGACGATGTCTGTAAGATATGCCAGAGCAGGGCAACCATGGCTCCGACTGACGTTGCCCTATGGGACCATTGAAACCATTTCCCCAAGGATCGCTTTATAATTGGTATCGCCATACAAGAGGATCCGATGATCAAACCAAACACCTGCTGTTGTCAGTATGCCACTTCGCTCTCATTTTGCGCTCACCTACAGCCCATCCAAAATTCGTCATCTGCCCCTGCTTTGGATGATGTGCCAAGGCTATAGCTGCATGGCATATTCCCTCTAATGTCGCAATGACACCCAACGTGAAGTGAATGAGGGTATACCAACGGCGAGGGACATTAAGAGCGTCAACAACAGGTGCTCGTCCTCCTACACAAAGTGGTGCCAAATTCACTGCTGCGGCTAGAGCGGCACGCTGTTGAAGCTTTCTCCAATCTTCGAAGAAAGAAGGAGCCAAGACTATCGCGCAATTTGATAGCATAAAGAGAACCACAGTTAATGCTTGTACCCGCGTGATGCTGAACCAGCCTTTGGGAAATACCAGTGGGTATCGGAAATGGCGAATGAGGAAGAGTTTCGGGTTTGTGATGGTTTTCTTGAAAGTCCACACGAGTACAGCTAAGCAAATGAAACTGAAGAGTGCTACCATGTACCATATATTCCAGTCGTCCATGGTTTCTGTTATGATTGCAAGGGAAATGAAGTGTTACCGCACAATGTTGGATTGTTGATGGGAGAAGAAGATCAAGGCGTGGTTAAGGATAGAACGGGCCGAGTGTAGTGCAGAGGAACTGCTACAAATGCCGATGGAGATTTCTGCCTGCAAGTTACCATACTAATAATAGAATGGCTATATTTAATAGGCGCGCTCCCGTCTAGGAGGCGGTTCTCATGACCACTTAAACATCGGGGTCCTGACTGCCGGCCTGACCCACCATCTCCGGCACGGCGCTTCGGGGTCGGAGCCATCAATCATTGAAGGGTGCTTTGCCGCCGGATGCTGAGCCGTCCGGATTCAATCGAGAGATAGGAGGTGGACAGAAGACTTGATAAAGGAAGACGCATGCCCACCCAAAGTACAACCTTAGATTTCACCACGCTCACTTAATACATAACGACTCTCCTTGTGCATCTCAACACAGCGTCCAAAATGCCCCGGAGACAGCGCTCAAAGGTCAACAAGAGACCAGAAATCGGCACTTTAAACTGCAGCTGGGGAATGTTTTCCAAAGCCAACGCCTTATTCCGACAATACGATGTCGATGTAGTGGTCATTGCAAGGAGACCCGATGGTGGTATAGGAGGCTATCAATCGCGTCCTGGTCTAGCTCGAGACTTCCTACAGATCAACGAGCAGGATCTGCTTGGGCCTCATGAGGTGGATCCCTATATGTCCAAACCAAGCAAAGGGGTCGCGGTACTAAGAGCTATGAGCTCGTCCAGATCCTCGTCATGTCTCGACTCGACAGAAAATCGCTCGTCGAGGTCGTCGTCATCTTGTCCCGACAACACAGGAAGTGAAACATCACCCGGAATCATGGAGGAAGCAGAGCCTGGTGCCGCGCTTCTCAATGTTGTACGTACTCCCCACAATGAGGAGGGGGAGGGGTTCATAGAAGAGCCCTTGCATCCATGGGCTGAGGTTCAGAGCATCGCAAATACCCAACGCTGTGCCTCCCCAGAAACCATTTGTCCCATTAACATCACAAAACCGGCCAAACAGTCTAGTCACAAGACAAAGGAGGACATTCACCAACCAATTCCTTTGTCTAGGATCAAGAGAGAGGATATTCTAGCACTCATCAAGAAGTTCGAATGATCTCAACAGCCTTTGGCTACTTTGCATATTTTGTCTTGTATCATTAGAATCATCTTTTTTCAGTTGTTTACAATTAAGCTATTTACAATGTCAATCTTATTACCTCTATAAGTCGGTCTAGTTCTAGTTGTAGCGCACTATTACAGCTCCTGTGCCAATTCTGCGGATGTCCTTGGCTATTGAAGAGCCAGCCTTGTTCTTGATGCTGAAGAAGATGACCCAGCTTATACGGAGAGTTACTGACATGATGAAACCTTCCTTCAATGGGGCCTAACTGCATTTGGATTATGGTATCCAGCGAATGTGCGGCAATAACTACTGTTCTGCAAAACGGCTGCCCTTCCCAGCATTTCTGTAAGACCTCGGCCGTGCAAAGCACCGCTTCTAATGTACTAGACTCATGGCCTCTGTACTTGATGTGGATTCGGTTTACATGAAGCCAGGCTAGAATTCTCGAAAGTGCCGGACTTGGCTGCGTCTGGCAAAGAATTTTGACCACACAATTGTCTGGAGAGGTGTAGAAGTTTGGTTTGTGGCTCAATTCGATGTAAAAAAGTGAACAGAACAGCCTCTCCGCAGTGTTGTACAGCCGTGGTGCTGGGCCGCCCAGCTTCAATTTGCGGAGTCCAGTCGTAGGCGGGTTGAGTACAAACGTAGTACGATTTGGTTGCTGGCATAGAAAGCACAGTGAGGATTGGTAGTGGCAAGGTTGTACAGGGAAGCAACAAGTGGCAACGCAAAAGTCGCATAGTAAGTGGCCGCAATCCATCATGAAAACGCCGGCCCTGATGAGACAGATTGAGCAAGTCGCTCGGATTTTCACGCTCGAAATGGGTCTCCAGCCTTGCAGTCTGGCGAGATGCTGTACCCTAGGTTCAACCGCAGGTCCGATCGTGTATTTGGCGATGTCGACAAACGCGCTGCGGACCTGGTCCGTCAAGCCCTCGTAGCCCGTCTGCAGTTCAAATGCGGCCAATTGCTTGACATATAAAGACTCAAACATCAGGTTCGGAGGAAACGCTAATTTACGTTAGAAAATATTCGGTTGTAGTGGCAGGTTACTCACAGTGTAATCCTGGGTGAAATGCGTTCATTACAAGTGCGGACGCAATGATGTGGTAATGGTCCACAGGCTCTGGAGGGCAGGCCGCCAAAAATTCTCCAATGTGGTGGCCCAGTTCTTCAGGGACTGGCCATGACGGGCGGGATGCGGCGACCAAATTGAATGCCTCCGTGGGTTTGGCAGTATAATGTGCAATAGCGGCGCGAAGAAGTATTTTAGTATCGGACCCAGTGAAGTGAAGCCCTTCAGATTGTCGATGGTTCCTGAGACCAAATAGCTTTACTACCAGGCCAGGGCTGGCAGAAGACTCGTTAATAACGCTGAGCTCTGTATAATCACTTATTGTTTTTTTACACTCGCCACTGATTGTGTCCACTGGTCTGCCATCATAGTAGCTAGAAGTTCAAATTGAATGTCCTTTGAGCAGTATTTGTCAGTTGCGACAACAAAGTGAGTCCGAAGCTTGGGTTTTTGCAACTGTCGGCGCAGGACCCAAGAGCATACAAA